TATGTAGAGTTCTATAAAAAGTTTTATAGTTCTCTAAGCTGAAGGAAAATGGTATTTCTGATTTCTTTCAGTTGTTGACCCACCTGAGCCAAGATTTCCAGTATGATCAAAGGCTACTGAATTGATTCTAACTATGTAAAAGATTTCAGGCCCAAGAAGGCAGGGGAGAGAGATGACTACAGGTGATGATCTATATTGCTGCCATTTAATGATTCTTATGTCTTCTTGTCTGGTACATTGGGAAAAATATCTCTTGTCATGCTGGAGTAGCCCACCTTCCTGGCAGACACAGTGTGGATTTCTACAGAAGGGTTTTAAAAACAGGTCTTGGAAAATCTCTCAGATAAGAGAAAGGGGCATGGAATGGGTCATGAGGGACAACAGTATTTGGGGCAGGTCTTGGGGACAGAAAGACATCTTGTCCTAAAAAGCCACATCTCCACAGCCTGGTCTGGCATCCAGCTTTGGGGCAAACCCACTTGCCCATGGCCCAAGTTCACCAACGTGACTCAAAAGATAACAGTGTCTCTTCTGCTGTGGCCCCACCCCCTGGCAGGGTCCTGCCAGCCATCCCTCCCCTGAGCACTGATGCTCCCAGCTGGTCCCTGCAGAAGAGCCAAGATGGCAACACCTGCCAGCAAACCCCGCTCGTCAGCACCACTCAGTGCCCCGGAGCCACAGCCCAACCCCACCACTGCAACATGGCCCCACAACACAAGAGCAGCCCCCGGGGGCCGGCACAGCTGCTCACACGTGTGCCACAGGCAGCTCCCTCAGGAGGTGACCCTCTCAGAGGCCATGCGACTTTCCCCCTCCCCAAAAACAGGTGCTGCTCAAACACTGGAGCTTCAGCTTCATTTGCTCCATCTGAGACCCCAAAGAGCTATGAGAGGCTCAGGCAATGTTTTGTACATGGATGTGGAAACCCTACTCCATGCTTGCCTCCTGTCACCTTCCCACACCGACCAGGTCTCCCACGTTATTCCAAGGGCATCAGATAACCTTCTCCAGCTGCAAACACACATTTGTGGATTACCATGGTAAATTTCTGCAGCATAGAAGACAGGAGATCATCTCAGTACCCCGGTGACAGCACCCATGTGGTCTGCACCTGCCTTGAAGGGGGGATGAGGGAAGGATGGGGGGCAACGCTCCTGTCCACCCGCTGGGCTGTTTGGCAGAGGAAATGGGGAGGCCCTTCTGCCAGACTTCAGAGCCTGAATTTGGCTACCCATTTCTTTTGCTGGGAAGCTTCTAGACCTCTTCAGTTCCTAAGCAAATTCTTCATTTTATTACAGCTGCATTTGTGGGGAGGGCCCCCATGTTACACCAGTAAGATAAATAAAAGGACAACCAATGTCACCATTGGCACATTAGTTTTCACAGGCCACAGCAGTAGTGACAGAGTAACGCAGGGGTTCTTTTACATCTGCAGCCAGCAGATCTAAAAGAACACCACTGTTTCCCCTCCTAACTACAATCACTGTGAGCCTGGAGGCAGCAGGAGTTACCATGGGAGGGATGCCTACAGCGAGCAGCAGGTTATGCAAACAGTTTTATAACCTGCTGAGGAGAGGGCGGCAGGGAGGGGAACATGAACTTCCGCTCCAAATCAGACGTCAGCTTCATTTTTTTTTTTCGCTCTGTACATACAGTTCTGTGCTTCCAGGACACACAGCTACTCTGGAAATTCAGCACCTGGCCTCCTGCCTGACATCAAGCAGTTAACTTTGTATGCAAGATGAGAGAGTGAACAACGTGTCCATGAGATAACACCAATGTCATGTCATTGTACCCACTGCATCTCCCCCGCTTTGTCTTCTTACTCCTGTTTTTGTGCATGTATCACATACTTTTTGTTACTGTAAAATGATCTCTGAAGTCTGATTAGAACAATTCTCCTGTTTGTAAGGGGAAAAGCAGAGAGAGCCAAAAAAAAATCTCCTGAGCTGTGTCTGACTCCTCTTCAGAGAAGAAGAGAAACAGAAAAAAAGAAATTGAAAACGACAAAGTTTCTACAGAAGAAGGAACGGCAACAGGCAGCCTTGGGAAATTTTAGTTTTTACTTTGTCCTTGTATTTTTGTGGAAGATCTCTGTCCCTAAAATCCATGCCATATTAACTATGAAATCTACCGAAAAATCAAGAATGCAAAATGTGAAGCTGCAAGAACAACCAAGCACACCTAAACAATTCTCTCGGAAAACACCAGAGTGCACTACTGCATAGTTGAGATGATTTACAAGCAGGCTAAGCAATATTATAGGGGTGTGAATTTGGCCTACTTCAGGAAAAAAAACCCTCCACACTGCAAACAGCGATTTTCTTAGGTTGGGGTATTTGATTTTAAGGCGTTTCGTGCTCCCTAACACCTGACTTCTTTAATGATTTTCTCTGCTGTCAAAACCAGGCTAAATTAAAATATGTATCAAAGGTCAGAGGCACTGAACACAAAGTTACCCAAGATGACGCATTTGACTTAATGATGAGATCTGCCATCAGAAAGTACTTAACAAAATAATGTCTCTGGTTCAATTTGGCAGAACGGCTGATCTAAGAGCATTTTTTCACTTTCAGGAGATAGAGATGCTAAGAGAGGTGTTCATTATTGAATAACCAGAACTTATAAGCTTTATTCTGTGTTTCCATTGTAAATCATAGAATCATTCAGACGAGAAGACACCTTAGGAGGTTTGTAGTACAACCTTCTCCTCAAAGCAGTTCACAGCGAATTCTGACTATGTTGCTTAAACTTTGTCCAGTTGGTCTTGGAAAGCTCCACAGATGGAAATTCCAGAGCTGCTCTGGGGAACCCACTGCTGTGTCTATCCTTCTTAATGTTTTCCCTTATATCTAGTCAGAACCTTGCTTGTATCAATTTGTGACCACGACCTCTTTTTCTCCTATCACACAAGTCAGTGAAGAGCATGGCTCTATATTCTCCATAGCCTCCTCACATGTATCGAGGGGCAGCTACTAGGTCCCCCCCACCTCCCCAGGTCTTCTCCAGGCTGAACACAACCCATTCCCTTGATCTTTCCTCACAGGAGCATGCTCCAGTTCTGACCATCTCAACGGCTTCCCATTACACTCACTCCAGTCTTTCTTAGATCGTAACTATGCGTGTTAAATACACATCCTTTCATACACAGGCTCTCCAAATGCTTCATATTGCTTTTCTTGAAGGCTTCCCTTGTCAAAGTAACAAATACTTGCGTTGCTTCAGTGGGAACCTAAATGTGAGGATCCCGAGGCAGATGGACACCTCACACTGCACTGAACTAACAGCAGAAGTAGCAGGTCTGGGTATCAGTGGTCTCACCGCCTGCAGGAATCCAGACATTTTTGCCTGCTGTTCCTCTGTCAGGAAAATAAAGACAAATTCAAAGACCTCCCTCCACTTGAACGGATTTCCTGAGGTACTTACATATACAGGGACTAACTGGTTTACCCAAAATGAATGAAACAGCAGTTTTCATTCACAAGGTACCCAAAGACTGCATTAAACTCACCACAAAACCTTTTCAATCCATCCTTTAATAAATAGCACTTCCATACCCAGAAGGTAACTGAAATGTCATAACTGGTTTCTGGTGCTAAACACAATTAAATGGTGATGTGGCTGATACAATCACAGTGCTGTTACACTGAGGTGGGGTACTTCAGTTAATATCCAATTTTTAAACATTTTGAAAGCAAGATCATTATAGTTGCTGACTCGTTGATGGCATAAAAGGGGAAAATTTTCTTTTGGTGAACTGATGAAACTTCCTCTTTTCTCCTGCTACCAGTATGGGGGCAACAGATTCTCTCAAACTTCTCTCAATGCAAGTCATTGTCTCATTTTTGAGGTCATTAGTGTTGTAGTGGAAAACATTCATTGTACTGCAAAACATTCCCTCTGCACAGTGGATTTTGTATCAGATAAAAAAAGAGTTTTAAAATATTTAAAAGTACACCTCAAGAAAACATGCAACCTTTCCTTAACATCGCAAAAAGTTCCCTAATATCACTTTGATGAATTTTGCATGTCTGCAAATCTAACAACTATATTCATGTCTATGACAAAAATAAGGCAATACGTGTACTATTACATTTTTTTACTCACAATGCAGGAGCCTGGCAATGGTAACTGAAATTACTAATGAAGATTAACCACACTGGATTCATGGCAGACAAAATTACAGCTTACATTTTATCAGCATTCAAGCTGCATTTCTGCCTTGTACATACAATCTTCTGCACTGATCCTGTGTTCATGGCTTGCTGTTCTTTCCACATATTTCAAGAGGTTTGGAGACAGAAAACTATATCAAGTTTTTTGGTACAAGGCTCCAAGTTTAATGATTGGACAGTCACAATCTGGAACTGTGTAGTGAGAATTACAAATCTGAGAGTAAAGCTAGAGAAGTACTTTAGCAAACACTACCTTGCACAAACTTTGTAATGGCAAACATAGAAAACTACTAATTTCTACAGTATAAAGTTTTTCCAGTTATAGCCCTGATGCAAAGCTTACTTGGGAACAAAAGGGATCACTGTTAAATAATAATCTGAATATAAACACGTCATAGTCTGACAACAGGCCATTAGGTCTTGTTTTGTGTTTTGATGAAATTTATGCAACTGCCCAAGTTGCCAAGTGAGTTACTTTTCAGAAAATCTACTGAACCCAAACGTTAATATTACCACTAAGAGGTCCTGATAACATTGAACTCTGCAGATGCATCACTGATGAACATTTGTTTAGAAATGTAAATGTATTCTTACGCTACTCTACAATCTTTTTTTTTCCCCGCTGGCTGAAACTCATCATTGTAATATAAACCTCACAATATTGAAAATATTAATATTAATGAAAATGTGTTCACAGTGCGAAAGTAATGACTCAGACCTGTAACTTCTCTAACACATTCTACCAACAATCTCATAGGAAACAAGTGTCAAATACTGTGACTTTATACAAGTAGCACTAGTTAAAATTTTATGAAAGCACACAAGTATGTTTAAAAAAATTTTATTTTTATTGTTTGCACTAACTGTATCATCATTAACAGCTTTCATCTCTAACAAACTAAAGCAAATCAGCACATACAAAAACCTATGCAAGGTCAGCACTCCTAAAGCAGAACCTCTGTTATTTAAATGCACACCTGGGTGTGTAACAAGTCTAGTGACAGTTCGTTCATCCTAACACTTTAAACACAGTCACTCCAGTTTCATGCATTTTTCAGGGCTGTTAAAAAGTTTCATTTTAGGGGCATAAAAAGAAAACACCTACAAGATTAATAGAGATAATTTGTTTTTAAACCAAAATTCTTATGTCTAAATTATTAAACTACAGCAAGGACCCTTCTTCAGCTGTAATAATTTTGCTCTGCAAAACAAAAAAGAAAAAAAAATTAGTCACTTTGCTGTTTTAGGCATAAATTATCATTAGCAACCTAAACACTTGCCAGCTCATGCTGCATATACTCCCATTTCTGTCAAGTGTTTGCCAGGTTCACTCACCAGCTCCTGGCTTTCTCTCTGAGCCGAAATGGAAGTGTGTATAAAACTAATCAGTTCTGCAATGAAGAGCTTTGCCTTTTTAAATCCTGGTGGAAAACCTGAGACTTACCAGGCAATCACCTGCATGTGATCTCTTGTCAACCCTACAGTAACAGACCCACAAACCAAGACAGTCCATTTGGTTTTACTAATTTCTGCAAGTTGTTTCTTAACTAATTGTTGAAATTAAAATAGTTGATTATTAACTAGCAGTTTTGATGAATAAACTTTATCCTCTCAGTTTCTGAATGTAGTTTTAATTTGTTCTAGCTGGTGCAGCATTTGTTATTGGATCTGATGCATTTGTTATTTATCTTACTTCCCTGGGATAAATCCAGAAGGGAAGGAATGACAGAAGGAGAAAAATTAGCCCAATTCAAACAGTTAGAATGGAAATACTGTAAGATTAACAACAATAGATAGGGCAAACATCTGAGTACGTACTAAAGACCTCATGTGAGGCTGTAAGGGAATCCTGAACTAACAGGCATCACTGAAAGTTTAACCCAGCCCCTCAGAAGCCACAAAACAGGATTTGCAATGTCAGATTTTAGCAAGTGAGACTAGAATCTCCCTCCCTGTCCACATTCCTGAGAGATCCCCAAAGTAAATTTAAAACAAAAGTACAATAGAATTACTGTTGAGTATATTCTACTGTGCTTCCAGATGCTAATTTTACCTGAAGTGAGTCCTTAACCCCTAAAGATGCCAATAATGTAGGAGCAGAAACCATGCAGGGATTCCCAGCAATGTTCCCGTGCCAGTTTCATTGCTTCTGTTTCATTTTCAGACCCTTGCCCTGCTCCTCTCATAGAAGTGGACATTTTCTGCGCTGATTCTTCCTGGTTTGCTAGCTCTTCTGGCTCCACACCAGTAGCTATTTGCTTCATGAGAGCCTCTGGAGGAGCCTTTTGGCACATGGAGGTCTTCAACACTTCTGTGGATTCACAAGCATGAGGGATCTTTCTAAGTTCCGCAGCGATCTGATTCCAGTAAATCTTTGGATTATTTCTGAAAGCACGACAGACTGATGGCTTGCCAGTGAATTCACACCAGTAGGACATAGCTTGGCTTTTGCATTCAATTCTAAGTTTCATCTCCTCATCGTCCCCACTAATGCTCATTGTGCAAATGTCTTTGGTTTTAGTCCGAAATTTGATTTCTTCACCATTGCTTCTTCTCTTTGGCTTCAGCTTCTGTCCCAATCCTCCCATACCACAGATAACAACTAGGAAAAGAAGAGTAAAACCCTTCATGGTGTGAGGAGTTGACCGAGATCCCTGAGCAACACGATCCAAAAAAGCGAAATCAGTAAGTAAATGGTTGCTCACAATTTAAAGGCTTGGTGCACAAAGAAGCCTCTTTCCAGCAAAACATGGGACGTAAGGGTTGGGCTTTTTTATAAAAATAATAAATCACACTTCAGTAGGCATGTGCCCATAATTTATAGCCTGAGGGAGTGTCGAATAACCTTGGGAGTGTGAACTCCCAAGAAGGTAACAAGACAAGTCTTGTAAATGCAGTTAAATACAGAACGATAGTTGTATAACTGAGAAGCACATTCCTATTCAGGATGAACATGTCATATTTGATTTTTAACAGATATTTGCCATTCTCCAGCTGCTTTATAGCTATCTTCATGCCAGAGCTTGTAAGACCATATCAAAGAAAAAAAGATAAAAGTGTCAAAACAATCTCTGCAGCTACATCTGGATGATTATAAATGTGTCCTAGTAAAAAAGGCTGATTTGTACAACCGGTTTTCTTTGGATTTGCACAGTAAGGATGCACCTTTAGCACTTCATTTTGTCAGCACATGACATGCACTGAGGATGCATGAAAGATAAACCGTACATTCTTTGAGCCATGAAAGATTTTTACACTTGCAATACTTAAGCAAGATAAGGAATAAAGCTTGAGCAAAATAAGGTATTACAGGCCTAAACATACACCAAACGTTTGGAAGTTTTATCATCATTGTCACACCATGAGTTACTTTCAGCTGACAGAGCAAGACATCAGAACTAATTTATCATGGGTCACAGCAGCAGGAAACAGACCACAAAGCATATCAGAGAGATATTTGTGCTTCATCACTTTTTACTTTTTTTTTTCTTTTTAAAAAAGGTATTTTCCTGTTCATAAAAAGTGAGCTGTAAAAATGACATAAAATAAAGGCAAGAGAATAGAAATATTTTAGTGTGGTTTCTGCTGCAGTAACTAAAAGCAGAGCTAAGGAAAAATCACTGTAACTCCCCTGGCATTCAGAAGGTCATGAGGAAAAGCCCTTGCCCACCTCACACTTAATTTCAAGGATTTCAAATCCCTATTGCAAGCACTCAAATGCCTCATAATACTTGACAAACAACTGTATTGTTTGCACTTTGTTATGCACAACAGCATTGACAGTTCTTAGATAAGAAACTAAAGACATCTGTCTCATTCTAATAACTGCTAAAGAGTTTAAAACAACTTAAAAGTTACTTTATACCACTTTCAGATCTCTTGTTCTCAAAGTTTTCAAGTTTAATCATGAAAACAAATAAATTACAAGGATAAGGATAAATACCAAAATTTGGATTACAGTATATTTACATATTACAGCTACTAGGTTACTGCCAAGTGTTTGTCTCACTCCCATCTGACTTTGCGTCCTCTGTCCGCCTGTGCTTCAGATGAAAGAGCTCATGGTCTCTTGTATCAGTAGAAAACAATTGTCCTTTTACAAGGTAAGCTAGAATGCCAGCAGTGAACTATGGGAGCTGAAGAACTAGCAAATGTTTAATTCTCCTGTCAGGGTTACAGAAACAGGTTATATGGATATACTCCACAACTCATTAGCTTGATTCCTACCATCTTTGCATAATTCAGATCCTTTGTGGAAGTTGGAAGCTCCCTCACCCAGAGTCAATGTTCTTTCAGTCCATCCTGCTCCAAAAATAAAAGTCAAATACAGCAGAAATTTTTATTCAGGGTAAAAAAATTAATTTTCCTAAGATTTTAACTCAGTGCAACTCTTCTGAGACAGCTCTACACAACAAAACAACTGAGAATCAAACATCAGGTAGTTAAGTAAGTTCTTTTTTATTTAAATGAACTGGGAACATTTTCTCAAATTAAAAATAGAAACTTTTAAAAATCTGCAGTTCTGAACATTACATATACACATATGCTACATACTGTCAATTAGAAATGTTTCCATTTATGACGTAAAAATTAAAAATTTAAGGTTATTCTGGATTAAAGACTTGTATCACTTTTCAAGCATTTCTTTGAAATTATGATAATGACTTACAGAATTAACCCTACTTCAACATAATGAACCTTGCTGGAAACGAAGTTGACAATACTGATATATGAAGAGATTATTTTAGATCAATATATCCAACTACTTCACCTGCCAAAACATTTTAGACTGGTAACATACATACTTTTGGCCTTTTGATGAATTCTGTTGTTAACTAACTCAGCAATGCAACTGTTTGCCTAAATTCAAGGCTGTAACTCTTAGTAACACAAATGTTAACTCCATTGCTAAACATATTTGAATTTTAACATTGGAAATCACAGTTTAAAATTATTTAGCAAGAATAGTATCACTGCCCCCAAAAGAGTCACAGTGACACCATTAAGGACGTTACAGAAGTGGGTGTCAAAGAGGAAAAGGAAGACAGAGAATGTAAAGCATTCTAAAAATTGCCAACATAGGACATCCCTCATGCTCTTTTTGAGTACTACTGAACTCTAGAAAGCTTAGCTTTTTCACTATATTATGCAACCCGCACACTCCCAACCCCCCCCCTCAAAGTTTAAAAACAAACTTCTCCAAAAAGTTTTTGTTAGGTCTATACTGCAAAACCCGCTAAATATTAAATAATTTAAAAAAAAAAAAAAGAGGAAGAAAACAAAACTACAACTGAACTTTTCTGATGCACAAAGAGACACAGTGGAACCCATTAAAATTCAAATTTAGTCCAATGTGGTCATTCAAGAGCACCAAATAGCAACACTGATCATGCTGGTAAATTCATTTGTGTAGAGTATTATACAATATTAAAATCTTAACTAAACACTTAGAAGTTTTAAGAAAAATGTATATACAAAAGTCTCTGTATACAAAATGTATTTTTATGTAAACGTGTATGTACTGTATTTAACACAAATCAACAATTAAAGATAAGAACTTGAACAACTGTCAGAGAATTCCTAGGCAAAGGCTGTTATCTAATTAATTTATATACTGTGATGTAAGGTACAAAGCCCAGTGTAAAAAAAGTAAAAAACAGAAAACATTTTTATTCAAGCCTTGAACAGTGGTATTTGAGAGGCAGTGCCCTGATCTCAAAATATTCTGTACAGTAGTTTATGGCATAACATTCAATAGTATATTTGGGATTTACAGTACAGCTGACATAAAACAAATGGCTCAGGATTCGTCAGATGAATGGAAATGCCAATACACTTGGAAGAATAATGATATGCTCCCGTAGAAGAATCTTGAGCCTCATTTACATAGCCTGGAAATAATAACAAAAACAATTCAGGAAAATCTGATAAAAAATTGATAAAGATAAAATTTTAATGTCATTTAAACAGAATGAAGGCACAGATTTTCATATGAACCTGAATATGGTTGAAAAAGTTTTTTTATTTTTAAACCTTAGAGCACCTTAGAGAGTTACAGAAACCAGAGCAGCTTTCTTAAAAATAGTAAAGTAGTAATAGACCTAGAATTGACTTAAAAAGCTTATTACTTACCCCTTAACGTTTCCAGTATGTGTTACCACTGTTCCACAGAGCTGTACAAGGAAAAAAAAACAGAAACCAAACCCATCATTTTCTTTTGGCCACAAATGGAACAGAAATACTCTGTCTAACTAAGGTGAGACCAGCTCAGTTGGCACAGACTCTTCTCAGTCTTTTACCCATTCAGTCAAGCATTCTTCAAACAAGAGGAAATAGATTCATGGTTCTCTCCATCAACCTTTCTGGTTACCTTTGTTTCATGATAGAAAGAAATGCCTGGATCACCTATCCAACACCATTCCTTTGCAAACTTAATCCTCTTTAAACTTAAGCCTCCTGTTTTTCTCTCACAAAAATGGTGGCTGCATTTAAGGTTATTTGTATCTTTGATATGTATATGAAAACCCCTTGTGTGAGACACACACACCTCAAAGACCTCTCACTTGTACTTACATATCTTAGTGTTATAAAAATATTTGCCTCTCTTTCCTGATTTTGAAGGTCAAAAAAAAAAAAATCCCAACCCTATGGGATTCTTTAAACCTGCAAAAGTACAGGTGTACAGAGATCTATTCAAAGTTGTATCCCTCAAAGTATCTCCAAAAATAATTTGTAGGAAATCAAAAAAAATCAAGGATAAAAGTGAAGAGTATGCTGAAATGAAAATTAAAACCAAGACTTTATTCATATGGGAATTCCATATTGAGAAATTCAAAGCATGTATGCCATAATTAGCAGTTTTTCAAATTATCTCAGCAGATCAGAAGCCAGCACTGCTTCAAACTGAATGTTTAAATTTTATTACGGAAGCCCATTTTAAGTAACTCAGAATTTAGGAAAAGGAAGTCAGGACTGAACTAGTGGATCTTTGTGTAAAACATTATTTTATGCTAGTCATTTTTAGGTTATTCAGGAACACAATTACCTATTCATCGACGACTGAAATACCACAATAAAACATGATATGAACCTTAAGAGTATTAATATCTACACTAAAGATTCAAAGATCAGAAAGGGACTTCCAATGCCTGAGCAATTATTAGTTTCCTCTTATGTACAGTACTGAAAGTTCTTAAAAATGACAGTGGACAGTACTTTAGAATTAAACACCTTGTCAGTCAATTTAGAGAGTAAGTACCCTTTAGTTGCAGAACAGACCACAAAAATTGTGATCATAAATATCACTAAAAACTCCTTCAGAATGAGATGTGGAATCAAGATCTGGTCAGTAAATAAGTATTGTAAAATACAGTTTTAAATACTACTACTAATAATAATCATTATCATCATCATCAGATGCAGCCATAAAATCTGACAAGACCCAAACTCTGAGCTCTCTTGGTATTTACCCATTATTTAAGAGTGGTTATATCTTCTCTGCAAATAATCAACCTATACTTTCAGTCATGAAGTTGCAAGTTAAAGCACAGTGAGCTACAGATTTCAATCATAAATTTGATCCTTCCTTATGCAACTTGCAAAGTCTGCAAAGCCAAATACTGAAGTTGTGGGACATCCTATGTTATCCCTATGGAAACTGAAATTCTCACAGCTAGTTTAAGTTTTATGGCACGGTTGTTGCAGAGGCAGAAAAGAACCCAAATCTCCTCTTTTTACACATAACTTGAACTTCTTGTTTTGTGATGTTACATTCTAGTCCTACCCATACAGAAACACCCATTTTCTATGTTCATGCTTTCTGCATACGTGAATCACCTGCCTTCTGCACAGGAAAAGCCCTTCTCACCATTTAAAAAATAAAATTACTCAAGAGTACAAATGCATCCCAGCCTATCACATTCAACTGCTATCAGAGTATTTTAATAGGTTTGTCAATTTAGGACTACCCACTGTGCTAGCTAAATACCTAATTACATGGATTTGAAGATCAAATATAGGCAATTCCTTTGTTAAGCTGCAGGAAATTACTACAGTGTCTGCTGTTATGTAAAGAATATTTGAGAAATATAAATCATACAGCATTTGTTATAGTTAATAATCATGCAAAAAACCAAACAAAATTAAATGATTCACTTTAAAGCATGCAGAAAATTGAACAGATGATTAAAAGAGTAGCTTAAGTAAGGACACATGAAGGCATGCAGTTTCAGACTTGGTTTACCTTGTAAAAACAGGATTGTGTATACCATATAAATGCTCTTTATGATAACCATTATTACCATTTTCTGTACTGTAATAAAATAAATACACCAAGAAAGACCATGTTAACTATAAGATGCACTATGTACAGTATGGCTTCTAAGACATGTACATGGGTGATGGTATGATATGCAAAGATAAACTGTGTCTGTACAATAGAATATAATTTATCCTTTGTAACTTTCAGGAGTTATGGCATAATTATAATTTTACATTTTAAAATATTTTTATCTTCTCAAAAAATCAATTAATTATTTTTCTATTCTTGTTGAGTTGGATACTCTAATATAATGTATAAAGTCTGGTGAAACAGATCACGTTACCTCTTTAGAAGTAACAAGTTACATTAAAAATATAAACCCTCCCATATTAATAAAATAATTTTAGCAAATATCAGCAAAAATGTCTTACGTTTTCATGGGTATAGTTTCGACACTAAAAAACACAGAAAAGGAGGAGTAATTAACTAGACAGTAATAAGTGAGTAATTTTAGCTGTACACGACTGTTTCTGCTCTACTGACTTGTGAATGTGCCATGAAAAATGACCAGTGTGAAATGTGAGAAATGCAGTGCACAGGTTACATAAACGATGAGCAAAACAAAGAGCAGAAAAGAAAACAGTAAAAACAAAACTGATGGGAAAATACGTAAGAATAGTTATCATAAAGTAAAATGCCAAGTCCCTGAGACAGAGGAACTGCAATTGAAAAAGGAAAGACTGGTTAGGAATAACTAAGACAGCAAGAAAGCAAATCATTAATTCAAGGAGATTACAAATCAAGCATAATTCACCTTAACAGGTTACTTAGCAGAGCTAATAACTTGCACATTTGGAACTTATTTATATAAACATTGCTCATGAAGCCCTGAAGACCTCATCCTGAAATAAATTTCTCAAGGTCAGAGCCAGCACTATCTGCAGAGTCATGGACCCCAAAGGCCAACTGCATGAAGCACTTTGCAGGCACCGACCCAAACCAGCAGCATTTCCCAGGAACATGGGCATCTGCTCTGTCAGCACAGGTTTAAGGATTATAGAGCCTTCACATGAAACACTAGAAAAAACATTTTAATCCATTTGCCATTTAGTTTATTTAGGAGTATATACTTACTCATCATACACATCCTCTGTATCCATTCTACGATAGTATTTAGAGAGTTTTACAGCAAAAATTATGGCAGGAATTAAAAACATTGAAGAGCCTCCCAAACCAAACCAGAAGGTATTCTGAAACAAAACAAAATCAAGAAAAAAAAAGATCATGGAGAAAATTAACCAGAAAAGTAATAACCCCTGCTTGATGTTTGAACCACTGTTCCCAGAACACAGCAGAAATTAGTGGCACCGGTCTGATGGTCTGTCTGAGCTCCTTTATACCAGTGTGGAACATGGTACATAAAGCATTCTCCACTGTCAGTGTGAGCCAACCTAAGAACACGACCAATCTTACAAATGTAACCAAACAGAAATATGGCCAAAGTTGCTCAAAGCTACAGGGCCATAGTGGCCTAAGAAGTTATTTCAATGTACTCAGCTGTGGGCTAGAAAGCAACTTCCCATCTCACTCTTAATTTACTAGCCATGTTGGGTTTTTTCCTTGATATTTTAAACCATCTTTCTTGCAATTCTTGTCAAAATATGAGTTCACAGCACTTTCTCAAGGTACTTTATAACTTGTTAATTGAAGCCCTGTTTGTGTAACTAATTTCATTATCATACAGTTGAACTGAGTTATAACCTGATGTTAAAATGATGATTTTTCAAATTTGATTTGTATTGGCTGGAGGGATTTTGACTTCCAAGTGACTCAGCTAAGTTCTATTGTAAGGGAAAATCATGGATCATCTCTTACCACAAAGGAGAACAGAAGCTCTGTAATGTATGAACTAATCAATGAGTACAACATGATTCCAGCAGGTTAAGAGGTTTTCATAGTTAAGCATTACCAAGATTAAGCATTACTTAGTTAAGCATTATCAAGGTTAGAGTGCTTTGCCTTTGACAGCTTGCACATATTTACTGCTGGTACGATTAGGACCCAGCTCAATGTGCCATAAAGCTAAGTAATAGCTAGGAGACATTTTAGGTACTTTCCAGGTACATGGTTGCTTGCTTTACTTTTAATACATGCTGTCCTCTTTCCAAGCTCTCTTGGCAAGATGAAAAAGCCAGTATTGCCCTTATATACTGCTACAAGTCATGCTCCAAGTCCCCAACATACAGAAACTAATCAAGATCTGTCTGCTACAAGTCAAGTGATAAAACCTCATTTAGGTTTTCTAGATTCCAGGAAAGATACTTGAGAAAGTTTTCCCTTGTATTTTCCACTCACTTTCTGCTCTCACTCCAATCCTGTAAGTCAGAAATGGTTACAGCTGAAACTTCAGACCTTTCTGCTTTTCCACTTCAAGGTGGTACAGAATCAGTTGATTTTACAAAATTCTTGCTAATACAAGCTGAAGCTTAATGAAAACCTAAAACAAGTCCAGCACTGGTTTGTCTTTGGACTTGATCCAGATCAGATCATTTTCCTTACATAACTTGGTATGTGATACTTTATTATTTTACTTCAGAATAGTCTAGCTGGAATAATTACACGTAGATGTACATTAAAAGAATTTCCCACTTGATACCCCAATTTTGAGTAAAATAAAATGTTTCTTACCACAGAATCGGTTATATAGCTGCATAAAAAAATATCTACTGCTGTATCTATCACGTTGGCAATAGGTTTGCATGCTGCTACTTCCATGGCAATCTGAAAGAAAGATTTAAAAAAAATACAATATCTAACAGAATAAAATAAGAATCTCAAAACTTGCTTACAGTTAAATTTTACTAAATTGTTATGTCTCACCCTACCCAAATTCAAAATAAATACCAGTGGGATATGCTACCATCTGAACATCTTTTAAACATCAGCTTACTTTCTCAAAGCCTGCAGCTGAAGAGAGAAATTTAAAACAAGACGCTAATGACATCAATTTGAACTATGCAGGTGAGACTCAATGCAGTATTGCTACAAATGGTAGATTTCAGGCTAGCCCTGAAAACAACATTGTTAAATTTGCACTGCATTCCAAACAACACAGCTCTTCATTTCTATTCTGCAAACCCAACAAAACTCTACGAGACCAACTTTCTCACTGATACTAAATACAAATGTATTAAAAACTGAAATTATAGAACATACCAAAAGTAACATTTTGGTGGTATTATTATTATATTTAGCTTTATTATGTTTTTTTTTAAACATAGCTTTTCTCAATTAAGTAAATGCACCTTACCGACTCCTTGACCCACTCAGTGTATTGCTCAAAGTAGCCAACTATGGTATCCATGTACTTTTTTGTCTCCTAGGACCAGATAAAAGAGAACAAAAGCAAGTTAACCTCTACCTCCATGACATCAAATTAATGTACTTTGATCAAATAAAGCTTACCTGGACAATAACTTGAGAAGCGTTGTTATTTATGAGAAACTGGGCAGCATTAACAGCACTAATGACATTTTTCACCTTAACCTGGAGAGGAAGAGATGGTGTTTAATATAAATAAATCCCTTTCAGGCTGTTGCAATGGTTCTGGAGCCATTGTCAGGACCTGTTCTCTTAATGAACCAGTGTCACTGTCTTGTCAAAATCTGACAAAACATGCAATTCTAGACAGAACATGAGCCTGCCTAAGGATTCATGATCATCTGACAAAATTCTCTCACTACTAAAAAAGGTTTGTATCAGTGGTTAAGACTAGTATCTTTTCCTGGAAACTACACAACTAATTTATATACTAGGATCTGTTTTATCTTCCACTCTCTTTCTTTTCTTTAAGTGTAGAAATAGTTACATCAATGCCTGTATATGCACTACAGACACACACGGTGCACAGGAAGAAAACATTGGGCCATATACTATCACAAAAACTTTTGATGACTAGGGTAGGATTCTATACAGCCAGAATATGCCAGTATTCAATAACCTAAAGGATTGAGATGCTTTTTCAATATATATACAACCCCATAAAGTCTTTCAAAGAACACACACAAAGAACAGTGCACATAGAGCCTGAAAATGTAGAGATGTCAAACATGATCCCTTTCTCATCAACACTTTATTTTACGGTTTCTTACCTCCCCACCCAGACTCAAATCACAGACTCTAAAAGACATCTAACTGGTCTGCTGCTGTGGATGGGTGAAAAATGCAATGGGAAGCACTGAGGTAGGTATGACCCACAAAGCTGTTGTAACTATGACCATGTTAATGTGCCTAGATTCTTGCTACCAGAGCCAAGGCAGGCTGGTGGCAACAGAAAGCTTTGCTCCCAGAAAAGTAACTGTCCTGTTGGCCTCACTCTCTGGCAGAGCATGGAGCCAGTTGGTCTCACTGTGATGCAGGCAGCAGTTGCTACCTAGAGAGGAAACCTGGGCTGCCCTGGGGAAGCCTCTATACAGATCCAGGTTCCCACAGTGAGGATGCTGCTGCAGGAGCAGGGAGTTAACAGGTACCATCTAATGAAAGAGAGCCCAGTGGGAGCTGAACATGGAACAAGAGGTGGTTAAGGATGTGAATCACAAAGCTCTCTCTTGTCAGTTGTACTCTTGCATTTTGTTTCTTGGTCGTTCCCCCCAAGTTTTGCAGTCAAGGATTCTAGAAAAACAATAAACCTACATTTTGAGGAAAATGAATAAGCACACTATACAGAACTGTACTGAAGCCTATTTTATCATGTGACAACTCAGTTTACAATTCATTCTCCAAAAAACACCTCAACCATTCATTTTTTTTCCCCTTTTTGCGCAGAGGAGATATCTAACTCCTTGTTACTACCTCAATACATTACAATCTCTCGCAGTAACAGAACAGCTGTAAATAGAAGAAAACTGCACTGAAAATATATGCCCTGCATATGTGGCGAAAGGATTTAAAACACAAAAATGTTCCTGCTGCCAGAAAGAGAAGCTTACCATAAGTTCAGATGATGTTTTCTTCAGTAACCTAACGCTCTGGTTTAAAGTGCTCTATTGGAAAAGAGGGGAGAAAAGAAGCTTCAAGTCATTACTACAGGTATGAGCACACCTGGTTTAATATTATATTAATACTTTGATCTTCTATAGATTATTTTGTTATTAATACTAAGTATCACACTATGTGTAACAGTAACAACTGCATTAAAATGAATACATTGTGGGTTTAATCAGTATTTTGCCAACAGCACTGACTTAACTAGAGTTAGATCCAACAAACTCAGTAAGATTTAGCTGGAGGGAGGACAGAACAGTTAAAATCAGAACCAAGTGTTCAGAGAATTCTATATTGTGCAGTTTCTGAAGGGAAAAAGCACTTACCCTAGCTTTAACATATTTCTTGACAGTCAGTTTTTGTAAAAGAAAAAAGAGATGAAAATAATTAGGAGTTAATTAGGAAAGAACAGCATAGAATCAGAGTGGACCAGAAGACCTAATGTTTTTCTACAGGTCGGCTTTGATAGGGGCAGAAATACTGTATCAGATGCCAGGATAAATTAAAGGTCTTCATGTTATGTAGAGGAAGAAGTAACATCAAGCAGGTAGGAGATTCACAGCTTGATACTATACAAATCCATGTTTGGCAAAATCAGGCAGAAGCAGCCCTTTGACATCTTTCAGAGCATCAATAAAAAAACCACTTTGGCTCTAAATGCTACTCTCGAGAGTTTCCAATTCTGTTAGGTGACTGCTAACTCCAAGAAATAAAGTGTGAAAGTGGTAACTGCCTTTATTACTGAAGACAAATGGCAAGCAAAAAAGAAAACGAGTGATTTCGGGTTAGAGCTTTGTAAAGTTCTCCCCTGCTTCCTCTTTTATTCATATATAACCACAAGTAGCTACAGAAAGAAATAGTGAAGAAAAAGGTCATGATTTTAAACAGTATTATAAAACAGTAGTATTACAAGTAGGAAAACTATTTATTAAACACATACTTTAGTCAGATTACTCTTCACTGACACAATCTGTGCTAATGCAAGTCCAGCCCTCTAACCTTTATTTAAGAGATTTAGAGATTCATATTTTCTACAAATGTTTCAATATTACTTTCATGTTTTTACCATAGCTTGCTCTAGTGGAACAACTTGCTGGTTATGAATCATCCGAATGCTGTTTGCGTGTCCTTTTAAGGCATTTTCCAGTGCTCCTTTTGGCTGCAAAAAATGCAATTATGCAGTATTGTTCAGTAATCTCAAAGCTTCCCAACAAAGCAAAAACCAAAGAAAGTTGCACATTATACCCATCCACTCCAGAACAGCTCATGCTAAAAATGGGATATGGCAAACTGAATTCCTCAACACAAGGAGGGGAAAATAATCACTGTATTAATAATTCAAGCCTCAACAACCAAACCAGATATATCACCTTGCTTTTCTGGCTACAACATTATCAGCACAGATTTAACTGAAGGGAATTTTCACATGGTGCACTAAGTAATTTTAAATACAGAAGAGTGAGCACACCTCCCTAGCAGTTGCCACAAGCCAGACCTCACTGCAAGAACCCCGCAGCACTGCGCCCCAGCTGGGACGAGCATCTCTCAGTCATGGGTACTTGCTTCTGTTTTGGCAATGTGGACATCACCCTGAGGCATCCTCTGCTTTCTGAGAGGCACAGAAATATAGATATTTTCAGCCAGCAACTTGGAAAGATGCCTGTGAAGGGTATTTTCCATTTCTGTGGCTCCTGCCTTTCAGTCAGAAGATTTGAGTTCGTGCCCTGATTTTCAAGTCCAAATGCCTGTCTGGAGCTCACGCTCGTTGCAAAACCCTAAAAATTTCATTTTACTCCCAGAAATAAATCTATTTTCCATTTCCTTTTGGTGGCAAAACCACTTGGCTCCTTGCATCTACACCGAATACACACTGTTAACTTTGGAAGTGTAATAATGGCAGACCTCAATGCTCAGAGATGTGTTTCCTTCCTGGGAAATGTTCATGTAAGCATGAATTCCAGAAGTTTTTAGTTTATTTTTTAATTGATTACTCTAAGATCTATCACTAATAACAAAGTGGGATTATAAAATATCCGTGGAAACCAGTATCATTTTTTAATAATCTAATGTCTGTAATACATTGTATTGCTGTGGTTTTGGGCTTTTTTTAGACATTTCATAGATTACATTAAATAGCATCACAAGGAAGAAATAAAAACATACACTGTTATAGTGAACACATTTACTACTGCATTTGTCTTTTATATGAAGAAATTACTCTGTCTGATCTATTCTCAATTCTACTGCTTCCTTAAGATTCTACTACTATAAAAAATAATGAAAACAGCCTACCAGGACAATATATTTTCCTTTATGAAACTATGCAGAACATATCTCAGGGGCAACTCGATGTTAACATGTTTGAAGAACTCCAGCTTTCACTTGTAAAATAGCCCCAAATCAACAACAAAACCACCTCACCTGTATAACCTTCCAAATGGCATAGTAAAAACTGGAAATTGAAGTAAAGTGTGGCCAAAGATACTGGTATGTGCCCAAGTTAGCAGGCAACCTACATGGGTAAGCAGGCAATGTGCAGCTCACCGATGGTGCTTGGAGAACTTGCTAACTACAATACAGGAAAACTCCAGGAGCAGCTGACCTTGACACAAGTGCACATGAAGCAGAAAAAAGCCCCAACCAACAACAACAACAAAAAAACCACCAAAAAACCCACCAAAAAACCAAACCCAGCAACAGGTGTGCACAAATTATGCAAAAAGCTGAAGTAAACAAAGCAGGGGCTTCCACTGGTGCCCTCCTTTCCCTGGAGGAAGGACGGATGGATATCTGATAAATTGCAAACAACGTGGTCTCCCTCTGCTGTGTCCCTTAGTGATCCAACCAATTGTAGTATGTGTGCAGTGTAACTCTTCCTCCTACATTGCAAGCAGGAATCTGTCTGGGGCCGGTGTCCAAACCATGACTTTAATTTTGAAAAATGAGTACAAAACGACCTTGACATGCATACAAACGTATCAAGTGAATAGTCACTATCCATTAACATGGATCTGTGCCACTTGCAGACTGATTCATTTGTGGGAAATGTTGTAGCAGTACCCTCTGACCATTCTCCATGTGTCTGCTTTCAAAAACCCCTTCAGAGAAGACAGGGTTTCTTTTGTGCATTCTCCCTCAACAATGCAGCCCCAGTTCTCACTAGAGCTCTTATGAGCTGCCACAGTATAAATATCATCACTAATTGCAAAGTCTTCCGCTCACTAACTGAAAGAAAATTAATTCAAACCATCTTTTCCATCATGATCTAACCCATTTTTCTTCTATCTCGGACCTGAAAATGTAGAGAGCATAACAGGAAATACTGGAATGGAGTATTCCCCTCAGTTCTTAAGCAAACAGTGCAATTTAAGAAAACAGACTTCCAAAGCAGAAACTGCACAACAGCATACAAAAATCAATAATTAGCAACATCTAAAATATAACTCATAGGAAACACTGTTCTAGAAAGTTTTTCCTTACATGACAGTGCACAATGTATGTAAGTGTCTAAAGTACAAGAATTCTCCCACAGAAAGTCTACTTTGCCATGTATTTATACTTATATGATATAAAAATGATACATTTTATGTATTATTTTATTATTGAATTAAACTTACCAGCTGGTCTGCTCTTGCTTCTAAGTCATTAGCAAAGGAGAGAAGATCAACCTTGGTAACACTTTTATTGATCTGAAACAAGATGTGAATAGTGAGAAAAGGAGTGTGTTGTTATTGCATTTACACAGTTTGTACTTAACTATACTACCTACTCTGTTTACTCTTTATTTCTTTAAATATTTACTGACCTTAACTTCTGAAGTGCTTTTTTTCCCCAACTTCTATTATCCTTCAAAATATGGCCTTTCACACAAAAGCAGATTTTTCTGTTTTGCCCATAGTTAAAGAAATATTTCATTTTATACTTTGTCCCAGTCATGTCTCTGGTTGACTACAGTCTCACCTCTGTCAAATATGCTGAAAAGTCTATCCCATCTATTCCTGAAGAGCTGAAATTCAGAAGATTCTCCTTCCCAATTTCATCCAGCAGAATGATTTTGCTGAGGTTTATCTGAATATGTTCAATTTTAAGTGCCACATCTTCTGTATACTGAGAAGGAAACAAAAGAAAAGCATAAAAGTAGTTTGCAACCAGTTCATATTCTGCTATAGCCCCTGCCCAAAGCATCTTGCTTTTGGTGATGACTCATTTCCACAGAGAAGCATGCACTGACTTTTGCTTACATCAGTTTAATTTAATTAACTTTAATCCACCAGGTAATGTTGGTGGCAGTGTTCTTCCCTTCCCTGCAGTATCCACAGTACCCAGTCAGGCCAAGTTCTAACCTACCTATGCCTCTTTCATACCAATGAATTACTTGCTTTCTGTTCTGTTTTAAGCAGGCTTCCCTGAATAAATGCTAGTCCCTCCTAAGAGAGAGACTAACATCCCTCCAGGAAACGTTATCCTTAAGAACATTATTTGGGACAGGGACTCTGTCTGTTAACTGTGGGTTCAGTGCCTGGCAGTACAGAACATGTATCCCTGAGGGGTTGCTGTAATGAAGACAGGGACTACAGGCAACCCCAAAATTACTACAGTCATGTAATGACAGTGCAGTCACGGATTATTAGAGCTTAACTGAAAAGATTATTTAATCCCAACCCCTTCCAACCATTCTTAAGACCACGGTATATCATATCCTAGATCAACACAAATCTGACTGTAATCAGAAGAGAACGCACCAAGAAAGGCATTTACATAAAAAGAAGACTGTCATTAAAACACCATAAGCAGCCTTTGGAAGACACTAGACTTCAACCTTCCTTCTATGCAAGCTTCAAAGTTAAAACCAACATTATTATCAGCACCCATAAAAAAAGCACATGGACCACTAAGAGTGGTAAAAATCATCTTATTTGTAACTAGACTTCTTTTTTCAGATTAGCTTGGACAGTTCTTGACTCCTTGAAGGATGTTTTGTATATAAAACCAAAAATCTCATAAAACCAGGACACACTGTACAATGTTTTGAGAGCAAACATCCTTCAGAAACAATCACACACTCACTCATAGTTTCTTTACTTACCATACTAATATTTAGAAACTCATTGATATTGAACAGGTATTCCAGGTGAAGGGAAGTATAAATTCCTTTGTTTTCCTTGCAATCACTAAAAAAACACAAATACACAGATCAGCCTAAAAACCACCTGGAGGACCAAGTATTAAAAGAATGATTAATGAATTTTTCTTATTCTAAGAAAATCAATCCTTTAGAAAAAAAATACTGGCTATATTTTTTGAAGCTAAGACTACAAGAAAAGTAATTAATAGTTGTCTCAAAGATGCAAAATATTTTATCAAAGAGTTTGACCAGTATCACCATACAATATTATGCTAAGACTACCTCTAATAACTCATATATGGGAGAAAATTGCTTTTGCTAGTGATTCACTAGAAAATCAGAATGTCTTCTGGAACATGTGTGATTTTTGGATGTGCCTGGAAAACGAAGCATGGAAGATACCACCAAATCAGTATGTGTAAAATGAATGAACTAAAAGTGAATTAAATATGAAATGAATTAAATCTTAATCATAATTTTAATACCTGTACACTTTTTCAAAAGTCAAGTTAACATTTGGGTTTTTAAAGAGGATGCCAGCAAGATAGTTTTTCCATTGCTGATTTAGTAAGTAAGGTGTATCCAAAACCTAGAAGACAAAATTCAGTAACGTTACTATAATTCCAAGTTTCTTCATGTACTTGTTCATATGTGGTCTTTTGACACATACCCACACCTAAGCTTATCACCCACTAATGAAAATATAAGAATAACAGCAAATTCAAACTCTGGCGCAGAAAGTGAATATTAAAGCTTCCCATCACTGAGGAAAGCTGAATCAGAAAAATCTGTCTCCAAAGGAAGACAGGCATGCAGTACTTACACTGCAAAGCAAATTAAACCAAGAAAGGATGAATATCTCTATTTGGTGTGTAAGGAGAAAGTAAAGCCAGATCCAAACTCACTTAAAGTGTCCTATAAAAAATAATATGCCATACAGAGCTAACAAGACCATTGGGACTCACTGGGATCCTAATAATTTTTAATAACATGAATAACTTCACCTTGAATAAATTTTTATCTTCAAAGGGCTCACAGACCAGTTTTTCTACATTTCCACCTGTGACAAACGTGAGCACCACTACAGTCATCAGCACCCAGGAGAAAAGAAAACTGAATCCAACTCCTCTGAAAAAGAAATAAGTTGAATAAGTTTTTGCTTTTTAAGAACATTTTATACACACACACACAGAGACACACACTTGGGGTAACAGTGAGGCCAACAGTTAGGAGTTATAACAGAGATAGAAAAACTGATAGACAGTTGAAATACTTCTGTTTTCCAAATATGTTCTTGTCCTCTGAAACAAATGTTTCAGCACTGTAAAGTCTTCAGCTAAAGTGCATCTAAAATGCTCACATTTGCATTGGGTGTGCAAACTGTTTTAAGAATTACATTTAAGAGCCACAAAACCATACAATTTTCTTTTTTAAATTCAACTCTTTAGCCTTGTGCTCCCAAAAATGTTTTAGGAAGGTTTCAGGTGCAATCTTCTCCTGCAGCCAGCAGAAACAACATTAATCCACTACTAGGCACTTTTCATCCCCAAACCTTCTGAAATGCTCTGAGAAAATCAAGTGTCTCTGGTCTCCTCGCATGGCTTTTTAATTTTGAGCAAATGCTCAAGTGCACTAAAAAGCTATGACTTTCTCCTTTTATTTTCAATTATCTGTTCCCAGTTTTTCCAGTTCCCAAAGCGGCTTACACAGAAATTCATTAGCTAAAACACTCGCCTTAGAACAGTAGATTCAGAAGTTTTATCCTTCAGCTATGATCCTCAATGAAAGAGCAACCCAAAATCCCCAAGTCCCTCGAGTATGTGAGATCAATATTTATTTCTACTTTTCCTCAGCAGATATAGATAGGTAACAAACCAGATTGTTTTTTAGGTCCTCCAAAATCAACCAAAGCAACTTTCTACAGGTACACTTAGTTCATTTTTCCCATATGAGTGAAACTTACGCCATAAGAAAGTTTCCTCCAGTGTTGGAGATACAGCCTCTGGTTGTTGGAGAAGCATGTTTATCATAACCACAGGTGCCACATAGCAATCCAAGATAGTAAAAGACCAGAATGAGGACCACCATGCAGCACAGAATGAGACACCCCAGCCACCTGAGGAATAAAAGACGAAGTTTTTTGTTATTTTCATGCAAAGAACACGCTGGAGACCTGCAGAGAACATCATGCAATACTATATTCCCAACTGGCCCACTCGTGGATCTGTCTGAGCAACAAATGCTAGCAACAAAAACAAGCATTCACTACACTAGTGTGTATTTTGGACCAGAACATGGTTATTGCTGGACTACAGGCAGCTGCTGCTGAAGGACTGGGGAACAGGCACCACAGGAACAAGGTGTCCCCAACACCAGTTACTGCAGGTGGACTGTGCTGAAGCATCAAAGTGCTCCAAGTGGAGCAAACAATGACTCAGAAGAAGCAGATGTTCAAACAGTAATTTATTCAAGAAGCAATGAAGAAATTTATGAATGTGGACTGGCCATCACTCATTAAGTACACAGCTGCTCTTACTGCAAGGCTTACTAACTTTTTGGACACAGTGTTAGGCTTGTAATTGTAAATAACTATATTTTAGGCTGTAAAAACCTAGGCATTGTGTGGAATGCTTTCAGTGATTGGAACAGTTAACAGAACTTGATGAGGAGAAAGATCTTGGATAGGAAATGAACTTTAATTTTTATTAAGTACATCACACAACAGGTCTATCTGTCTACATAGCTGGAGCACATCTATTTATTCATACATTATATATCACATTCTAGCCTTTAATCCTCTCCCAATTTCCTCTGCACTTCTTTTTCTCTTCTGTTGTCACTTATATTTTTAAGTTCCCTTTTTTCCTCCCTGTACCTCTGTAGAGAAAATTCTGCAAAAGAAATACTGTAATGAACATGCACAGCTAATAAAAAGGAAGCCATTAATGCTGACAGGCATATTTGTAAGAGGATATTTATTAAGAACTGCAAATAAGGCACCTGTAATTAAGAAAGGAATGGATAGAAAATAATTTAAACAACTACAGGCTTGTTGGTCTCATTTGTACTTGAAGTATTATTAGGTTAGACAAAAACATGCATTTAAGTGTCAATTTAGATGAGATATATTCTCCAGTAGCAGAATAAAACAATATATTTATTTGGTTAAATGCTATGTGAGCTTCAAAGAAAATACTGATAAATTTGTCAAATTAAGGTTCACCACAAAAACTGTCAGATAAGGAATGGGCTAAAGGTAAGGTTCTAAAAAAGGTTCTAGAAGTTCAGTCTTCTGCTCACTTTTATTTAACACTGCATTAAAGCCATCAACACACAGTCTGTAGCAATGAAACTGATTAGGACACAAAGATAAAAGCAATTATCAATTATAAAATCAACCGAAGAGTCAAACAAAATGTAGGGAGAATCTGATGAGCTTGACGACAGAAATGACTAAATCTGGACAAAGGTAGGAAATAAAAAGCTTTATGCTTCAAAATACAAGATTACTCAACTGTAAGAGCCACAAAGTCTCAAACAGAAAGAGTATGTTCCTCTCAATGTACAGTTAACCCAGGCATTTGCAAGGACAAGTGCTACACCAGCAGGGACACACGCGGGTGAGCACAGATTTACAGGTGTGAGGCAGAATCCCTGCTACTCCCCTGTGGTAAAAAGGGTGCAATAACAAGGATTGGCTGCAAGGTCTCTGTGGTCCTATGCCCTCACAACTTACCCGCAACTCAGTGAAAACAAGCCCTAACTAAAAAGTCACCCTGGCATTATAGAACAATTGATTTCCTTTAGGTGTTACATCTTTGACATCTACCTACCTCTATCCTTCCTGAAAAAGACATGAAGGCCTAGAGTAGAAACTACCTCCTGCTCTGTGGTGGAACAGCACACAGATGTTGATTAGCTGCATTTTTGCCCTTTACCAAAATGCCAGTAACAAACATAGCATGCCTTATAGCATCTTTGTTTCACTGTGTTCATCATTAATAGTTTACTTGCCTTTATAGACCACTAAACTATTAAAAGTATTAACAACAGGTAACACTTCACTCCTGCCTTATTTCATGTACATACCTGTAGAAATCATACTGCTCCACTAGTGGAAAATAATCTTGAACATATGCCTCACTCTGTGTAAGATATACCATCAAATCGTCTAAAATCTTCTGAACAGGGAGTGCTTTTGTGAAGGTAGTAATATTTGAACCAATGGATTCCAGCACGCTTTTGATATCTAAAAGAATATACATATTGCACTGTTACAGATCCATAGAGGAAATTCACATTCCATGTATGCATTATAAAATGCTATTAAGCCATTTGCCACATGTAACAAGCAAGCCATGAAGACAAGTGTGAGGAAGAGACAAGCAGGCAACAAAAACATCAAGCTTTGAAGTAACACAATGGCATTTTAAAACGCACACTTTGTTTTTAGCATTCAGCTTAATGATGAAAGATGTAGAAGTTGAGCCAGAGTTGTTCCTCTTGTCTTTCGTTATAATGAATGTGTCACCTTTTTATCTAGCCAGCTTAAATCTTCCTTTTCATGCAATATTGCAAATGGTAACACTGATCAAGACAATTAGCCACTAAGTTTATGAAGGAGAAGATCAAAATCTATTTAAACTCCATGCCTTGGGAATATAACACTGTGAAAGAAATTATACTGCTTATATTGAGAATCTATACTAGTTCTTTTCAACCGTATTAAAGGAGATTACTTAAATAAATTCTTTCCAATTAATGAGCAACACTCTTGAGGTAACGATCAATTAATCCATTTTTCCCTCAGATAATGAACAAACATGCTACCCTATACTTACAGTTTAGATATACGCTATTTAGATTTACAGACACATGATTAATTCACTTATTACACACCCTGTCTATGTGTAAAATGCAGTTTCTCTACACTCTCCCCCTTCTTTCAACTTGAAACATACTTGGAACAGCAGGATGTATAACTACAGGTTGCAATTTGGTAGCAGACAACACCTTCTATTCTCAAACAAGACCGTCTGTTTTGATGTTTACTCTTCAAATCAACCAGGTAACAAATCATTCTTTTTTTAGAAGTTTATAAATAAATGCATTTTTTTCTAGTAAACCCATTTATATGCTTTGTAACTCAAACTCAGTTTAGTGCAAACAAACTCAAAAAATTTATAAATAGGTAAATTAAGATGGCTTGTCTGTGTTTACACATAGCAGCAGATACTGAAAATGAGTAAATCTGCTCTAGGTTTCCTAATGACAAGTATAACATTGATTTTCTAAAACTGGCTCATTTTAGGCAAGTTCACACAGTACACTATGCTCGTATCTATAGTGTCCTTCATTTTGCCCAGGAGGGGAAGAAAAAGAACAGAAAAACTTACAAGGAACAGCTGCTTATATAATTCAGAACAGGTCCACAATGCAAGAACAAAAATTAAAACAGATTAGTATACATACACTATACTACCATACAGGTATGGTCAAAGATTAAAAAGTGTAAAGCCCAAGTAATAAAACAATTAAGACAGCCATTTAAATTATCCTTAAAGGTATATTTTTACCTTCCCTTTGCCATCCACTACATTTTAATACAACTGCAGGCAGGTTCAGGTTTTTTAACATCACACTCCTAAATATGTCATAAACACATCAGTCAAGGAAAATTAGCCTTTCAACCAAATAAAGTGCCAGTGTGAAGCTGGGATCCCAAGATTTCTCGTGACTAAAAAGCCTAACAGATAAAACACCTCCATAATATACCATATGGCCTATTTTTAGATTTAATTTTGGGTCCTCATTAAGACACAGTTGCCTTCTATGTTTTTTTTCTAGCACCAGATTTAAAAAAAAAGAAGTTACTCTTTTAATGATCTTTAGCCAAGAAAATATATTATCAATAAAAGAAAACAAAAACATTAATCAAAGTGAAAAGACAGTCCTCACCTGATAAAATGTTCCTGGTTTGATTCACCACTAAGTCTGGAGTATCATTAAAAGCTGCATAGCCCTAAGAATAGAAGTTGGAAAGATCAGAGCATGTTTCCCGTTGTCATATTGGTTGCAATTTTTTTCCTTTTATTCAAGGATCAAAAGTATACACATACGAAAATATATGTGATAAAACTATGAAAAATACATTTTTATCACTACACATTAGAAAAGATGAAAGTAAAATAGGAACTCTAAGTATATTTCAGATTCAGTTTGCTCTTCAGAGTATTCCTTGAAAAAAAAAAAGCTAAATTTAAATATACATGAATCAGTTACAATGACCTCAAACTTTGTTGCCTGTCAGACCAAGAATGCACATATGAAAATTCAGTAGGTGAAAGGAGTTACTGTGTACCAGCCAAACGCCTCCCCTTTCCAAGTCTATGCCTTCCAAACACGAAATGCATGTTACAAACAATGAAATCCAACTGCCTCTAAAGACGGGGTGATGCTTTCTTCAGTGACAAGGCAAAAGAAAGGGTCTAAGCCATGGGAACAAAGCTGAGCAGCTTATCTGGACAGAAAGGATATGCTTGAATCCTTACTCCCTGCAAGCCTGATCACTTCAAAAGCATGCAGGGGTCTAAGGGCCGGCAGACATTTTGGTTCTGCCCTCTATTCCTAGAAAATGTTTTCAGATTCCTAGATTTTTCAACTGCCCAAACTAAGTAATTTTTTTTTTCTAGGTGAAAATCATTGTGTTTTGTGGAAAGTCTTGCAAAAATACTAATAGTAATTACACTTTGTCCATTACACCAGATTTAATGTCAAGTATGTACATTAGGAATTTAGAAGAAGTATTTCAATACAATAAAACTAATCAGGAGAGCATAGGGGTTTTTTATTTCTTTAGCTTGAACCAAAAAATAGAACATGCTATTGGATCCATGTTTCTGCCTTTTTGGTTTTTTAGGATTGTTCTTTCAACCTGACAATTCACAAACATTTTTGACCTGTAGTATCCTGGAGATACAAAGCATTACATTCTTGTTTTCAAGTATTATATCTTGGCCAAACAATGGAATAATGAGAGACATCCACCACAAAGCAGGATGAGGTGGGAACAAAAGAATTCTGCTTGAGAAACCAAGGGAAAACAAGTGATTCACAAGTATCCCAGATTATTAATTAAGAGTTTACAAGTCTGTCAAGAAACATACCTTTTGAACGAGACTAGAAAGGTCTATTTTAAGGACATCATTGACCTTTGCAAGCTGTGAGCTCACTCCTGGCAACTAGGAAGCAAAAAACATGCCTGAGTCACATGAAGTAGCAGTCTGGCTAATTTAGTAAATATTTCACAGTTAGGAGAGAGGGTAAAGAAACTAAAATGATTTGTAGCAGAATCTTTCTAACACACTCCTGAAACCTCTGCTGTACAAAAGCAAAGCTTAACCTCAGCATTTTTGGGAGGGCAGGTTATTTCACTGCCCAGAGCAGCACTTTTAACATAGCTGCTTGACACACATTTTATCCTCTTCTACACAGAAGATGAAAACAGTGACTGGAATTACCCAGAAACACAGAATAAGGGAAGGTCACTTATCTGACAAGTGACAGCACACACCAAGCCACTAAAAGCTGCAGAAACACTACCGGGTTTGCTCAAGGCAATCACGCTCTAAGAGTCTGAAAAACATTATTATAAAATCTTACCCCACTAAAATTGGCATTGACGTTCAGTTGACTTAATGAATTCCTGATGATATTGCACGTTGAGGCGGCCTGAGCCGCATTGCACGCGGAGTCATTGAGGGTGTTGCTGAGATGCGTTTTAACATCCGTCAAGTTTGCACGAAGCCTCTCTGTTCCCTCCTGTAGAACCTCTACAGAGACACTCACATTTTCCAGTGCTTCCTTCGTTTCTCTGATGGCTGCAAGGATGGGAAATTTTTAAAAAAACACTTTAGTTAGAAAGCAGACTATAGATACAGATATGAAAAGAAAGTGCACGTGCATAAATGCTACGATATTCTTAACAATACTGATCTAAATAATCCTGCCTCCCTCCCAAAAAAACCCTCTAGCACAGAATATGTACTTTTTGCACATAAAAATACATCACTCATGCTTTCTTACAAAGAAATGAATCCGCTCAGGCTATTTTCATTGAGATTCCATCCACTTCCCAGATTACTCTTTTATACCTTTTCCCTACCTCTCCTTACTCAGTGATTTCAGTAAAGAACTTTAACACGTGGTCATTAGAAATTGGAAGAAAGCCCATATCCACAAAACAGTATTTTCAGTATTTTGCTTATAATCTAAATCACAAATTATGCAGCTGCAAGATGAAAGGTAAGGAGATCATGTTGCATCAGCCAAGCATTAATAAACGTTCAGCACTGGCTTTAGATTTTATCCCAATCACACCAAATAAACAGAACAAAATGAAAAAAACCCCAAACACTGAACAGGTGTTTAGTACACAAAGAACCACACAGACACAACTAAAAAACAAGTTACAAAAGTAAAGTGCACTTCACACAACACAAGGTTTTACCGTATTTTTTACCTTTGATAGCCCTTTCCACTTTGACTTCAAGACAAATAAGAGAAATAAAGCAAAAAAGGAGAACGATGACAAGTGAATGAGAAAGAATTAATGGTTAAAAAAAAAATAAAACAAAACCAAAGTGACTCAAGTTCTTGGGTGTCTTTCCCTTTTTTCTATAAGCTCTACCTGATTCCTGAACAAAACAAACCTTAAATGGAAAAAATAATAAAGGAATATTTCCTCCAGAGGGAGAAAGAACTAAGTGTGAGTAAGGCTAAACTCAAAGATACAATGAAGAAATGCTGGACAGTACTTTCATAATAAGCTTGGCAGTGTACAGGACAAGGACATTGTAGTTCATTCCCTGACCTGTTGAAGACTAACCTGCAAATACCTATGGACAGCTCTAAGAGGACAGTTTTCCTAGTCTCCCTTATATTCAACAGAAAGGGACAACAACCTGGAGCAGGGAAATCGGATTTCATCTCTCTTCAATGACTGCTGAAATTAAATATCAACAACAGCACATAAATCTTGATTTAGCCTTTAAATATATTTATAAACCCTAAAATATCTGAAATCCTCAGTTTAAAAGAAACATCAAGGCATGTAGAAGGATGAGCTGACTCATGGTACTGCATAAAGTTATCCCATGCCGTGCGCTAGAAAGATAATGCCTGTTTTACCATGGCAACAAAAAAAAAGGACATCTTTACCTCCTGCCATTGTCAGAGCTGCATCAAGTGCAGGACGTACTTCTTTTCCCAGCTGTTCTTGAACTCTGGTTCCAAGCACAGGTCCAACATCTGTGGCATGGAGAAATAAAAAACCAAACATTACCGACTAGTTCAACTTGAACTACCTCTTAGCATAGGTGCTGTCACACTCTTACATAACAAAGTGTACTTATATTATTGAAATTTTTCTAAGGCCTGACAGTCAGAACATAGTGACAGAAGGTAACACAGGGATACAGCTCTGTTTTAGCTAGCTATAGGCCTACAAATGAAAGCAGTAAATCAAAATACAGCAGAAAATATTCGCCAGCACTTGACCATATAGGTAAAGACACATAACATTTCAACAGACTCCACAGTATGTATTTCATTGCATTTTCTACTCTTTTCAAAACAGGATTTTTTCCACAATCTATGTTAGAGAGGCCCAACATCTTGACAGGAGTTTTGTGGCATATTCTTTCACTCAAGCTATGTTTTAATAGTGCAAGAGGAACTAAAAAAATGTATTCTTTTCCTTTCCCCTGTTCCTCATGTATCGAGCAATGTCAAGGTCACCCACAACCCAGACCTGCCAGACAGCTCTGCTGAAATCCCTTAAGCGTGTTAAGCACATGTCTCCAGTCCCTGCTCCCTCACAGAGAGCATCCAGCATGGATGCTCCCAGCACTGGCATCATCCTTACCCATAGCCACCCCCACCTCCAAACACTCCAGTCTCACTGTCTACAAAGAGAAAGGAAGCTTAGTCCAGCAAAATGACACAGAAATGCCAAGCAGAGTTTGGTGAAGCATTTTAATGTAACATATTCTTTAGGTAGTCACTGGGTCCTCTGCATTTTCAGATCACAGCAAACACATTTTTGAGATTTTTGGTTTTGATGAAATGGGAATAGTGCATGGTACAGAAGTATTCTTTACTGTTAGTACCATCATGTCTGGCCTGAGATGAGAGTTTCTGTCAAGCAGAAACACTTTTCAGCTTTTCCTTAGGGTGGGCAAATGAACTCACGTACAATTCTCTATAAGTTTATCCTACTTGTACCCCGGTGTCACACACTTAATTCTGGTATTTCTAGAAAATAAAAGCTATCTTAATTTACTGCTGATCACTCTCACCACAGATCCAGCTAGGTTCCCATTAACTAACATCACAAACTGGCATTGAGAACTAATAAACATTTAATTTGAAATTTCAGTTTGGAGCGGCTGAGAAGCTTCAAGGTAGTACTTGAAATGCAGATGTCAACCTTTTTTTATTATTATTATTCTTACAGATTCAAAGATTACATACATCTTTTTAGACCAGTGTTCCTGCAGTAATTAAGCAGGAAGACTACTGCTACTTTCACAAGCACATCTGATGTGCAGTACACCCTCATACAGCCAAGACATAATAACTTCAGTGCATGCCAAGTTGGCTGCATTGAAAACTACCTTTAAAATACATTTTAAACTAGACAGAAGCATAGATTATAGGCATGAGAAGTCAATTTATGGTAACTGGCATGATGCCACAGTTGCACAGTTTGATCCCAGCAACAATCCTTCAGCCTGAAATGCAGACCTGTATGCATTTACTAACATCTGCTAAAAATGCAACTTGAATTATCATCTGCACTGAATATGGTTGGCCCTTTCTATTGTGAGTTTTGTAAAGCAAAGTTTAAATTATAAAAATAAAAAATAAAAATCATCTTTCTGGTTGTTTCTGTTGACTGAGAGCTTTAAAAGGTGACACTTCATATTGTAACTGTGTTGAAGGGGAAAGTGCAGCAGTTCTACTTCAAGTTTTATCTCCTGCTCTTCAACTGCTCATTCCGAAATGGCAAATACATTAAGCAGCTAGAAAGAAGATAAGCTGATGCCTCAACTTCTAGCTGAGTAGAGAACAAAAGTGCAACAAGAAAAATAAACAGAGATCTCTCACTCATTGGAACCATCACAACTGCTTGCATATTTGTTCACTGATATTTGGCTTCAATTTAAAAACTGAGGAAAAATATTCCAAAAAAATCTTTAAGTATGGTTACTGAACTATAAAACATATACTATAAAACTATAGCTTTATAGTATATTTATATAACTATAAAACTATAAACAATTTAATAAAAGACCTTTATTTTGGAAATACTACACATTACGAGCTCTGAGACTTTTTACGTGAAAACAATTTTAGATTTTGGTCTCATATACTACTGAGAACAGCACTTCTGTTTGAAAACCATGTTCTCATAAATAAAGTTTCACTTTGCATTATGAGCTAATTACATTATCTTACTGAAGCTTTTAAATACATGCTGCTAACCCCCCTTAAATCAAAGTACTTACTATTTAGGTCAGAGAGTGCTTTATCCTTAGCTGTGTTGTACTGGCTCACCAAATAGTCAATTTGCTGTAAAGAAGATGATTAAAAAAAACATTAAAAGAATTGGAAAAAAGTGATGCTTTTGAATGTGTCAAACTGTTAGCTTGAAACAATCAAAATATTTGTGCCAACTCCCTGGCTCTCTACTGTTTTCGGTTAACTAAGTATTTTATTTCCTTAGCAGAACTGCACATAATAAAAGACCAGTTTAATTGAGACATCTACTTAACTGGAACTTCTCTGTGGTAAATGATTCAGCTCAAAAGCAGAAGGAACTGTGACCTCATGAAGCCTTTGAGTCAGTCAGGCAAATAAGTTTTTTTGCATGTCTCCAATTTCGTTACTTGATTTTCTCGCGGCATTAGTTTCTCCTTCACGGAGAAACGTGAGGCACTGATGCAGTGGTAATTTTGAAGCAATTCACCAACCACACTGGCTTGTGTCTGGGCAGCCTCTCAGAGCTTCTCTTGCAGAAAGGAGACAGCTGCTCTGTCTTAATGCAAATAGTTTTCCTCACCTTCAAGAGGATTTGGTCTCAACTTGAGCTCTACCAAAGACATCGTAACAATATAAACCAGCAACTTAGTTATCCCCAGATACTGGGTTTGGACAAAAGGCTATCAAAGAACCATCCCAAGTGGAAAGCTTACACTAATTTTGAAAAGACATTAAATAACCTTCATTCATTTCTGCATGCTTAAAATAATGCATTATGAATTCTACCCCAAGCGAGTTAGAGTGGTGTAAAGGTTCACATACTTGACAAATGGGTTTTCAATTTTAAGCATGACTCAAATATGTACCAAAGCGTACATGGCTTGTAGTCTCTGTGAAATAAAGAAAAAAAAGACCAAAAAACCACCCTCAAAACAACCTATTGATGACACAGCAGTGGACATCATTAAATGACAAAGTATGAAGCAGACTCTCTTTCTGTAAAACAGGAAAAAATATTTGTTTCTTACTAAGAAGGCTGTAGGTATATTTTTGTTTATTTGTTTGCTTTGTTGACCTAGGCTAACCTAAGGGCTAAAATTTTGCAGGACTACAGGTTTTGCATTGTCTCCAGCAATGTCACAGACAAAAGGGGATTCTCTATCACTAATAGTGTTATCACTCAATACTCACAGTCTGCAAATCTGTGACTTGAACTCTTAACACAGGACTTTTTCAAATCCTCTTACATGCTGTACATACCTCATACTGATGAGTCAAAGGCAGCAATTTGCATTTCAGAGCTTTATAGCCAATTGGTAGGATTCTAGAACTGAAGCATTTCTCATTTCCCCAAGAAATTCTTACAAATATGTGTGTCTACGTGATACTCATGCACCTTGTCTGACAAAATGACTTAGAAGATACAGCTGATGACTGCATCAGCTCCAAGTCTAAAAAAATAGAAAGTAATAATCCTGTTTTGAAACTGAAAAAAGTGCTAAGTGAGACTTTGAGTAACCTCTGGTACAAGTGTTCCAAGTCCTGACACTTTTAAATTTAATAATTCAGCATTTTTATTAACTTTTTAGACAGTGCTTATTTTTTCTCTATTAAGATAAGTTACTTCTTCATAACAGATTTTCTCCTCTGACATTTCCCACTGCCAGCACTCAGTGTGCTGTCAAAGGGACTCTGGTGGTTTCTGATATAACTGGATGAATCCTTCTGTGCCCAGTGTCAGCTCCAGACTGACAAAAGGCACCCTGTTTCAAGAGGGGTTATTGGGGTTATTGGCATGACCTTCAATTCCTGCCATGTACCTCCACCACTGGTCTGTCAGAGCACCATATCCAAACAAATAGTTGTATAGGGAACATCTTCAGATAGGAAAACATTTTATGGCACCCCCCAGATGTCTCCTGTTCTCATACAGCTCTGGTCAGCAAAAAAAAAACAAACCACAACAAAACAGCCCAGAGTTACTGTGACTGGAATGCTACCACACTTGTGGATTCCACATAATTGCGTGAATTCCACCTATTTCTAATTTCATGGAAGTAAAACAGATTAATAAAATAAAATTCAAATAATTAAAATTAATGAAAGCCAAGGCAATAGAGTTGTTGGACTTTTTTGTCTCCTACAAATTCACAAAGAATTGAAACTACATTCTTTACAAGCCTTCCTCACTAGCATTTCTTTTTTTCTTTCAATACAAAACAAGATATGCAGAGGACTGCTTATGGGATTCTAAGGCAAGTCTGAAAGGAAGGAATCTTTCCTGTTCAGTATGGTACAGTATGACTCTGGTTTAAAGAAAAAACAGTCAAAAATATTCCTGGGAAAAAAGCTATTGTGACTCAGTCCCAGAGCACATACAACTAAGTCCAAACCACAAGGAAACAGGAAAAAGCAACAGGGAATCCAAGTTTACATGTAATATATATTTTTGTATGTATTCCTTTTAAAACCTTATTTTTCCAAATTATTTAACTTCTGCTAGTGATCTACACTAGTTCAGTAGGAGGAAAAGGGCCTACAAGCATCATAGCAGCATACTCCCAGAGTACAGCTCAGAAGTTGTTCAAAGAATGCTGATTCATCAGGATAACTCCCAAACACTTACTACCGTGTGAAAATATCTTCCCTTGCATCATTTATTCTATTTACTGAGACTGACACACAAAGAATAAACAAAATACTGCAGGTGTGATTTAAACCAAATAGAAAGAAAAAATTACTTTCTGCAAAATTTCTTATTTACACATATTCCCTCCCACCCTCATTCCCCATAAAGAAAAAATTCTTTACCGCTGGAGTGTCGTTAAGGAATATTTTCAGATCTTTAAAATTACTGTTAACCAGTTTCTTTGCTCCTCGGACTTGGTTAGTTAAATGCTGGTTGGCAGCATATGCACAGAGCACTCCAACACTACAAAAAATATAGATAACAGATATTTCTTTGTTACTGTAAATGCATATTCTAACATTAAACAGAACGAAAAAATTATAGCAAAAAAAGGCAACATTGTCAAAAGAAAGGTCTCCATAAATTTACACATTCTTTTTCTTACTAGAGGTTCTCACATGCACCATCAGATAGAGTTGAGGAATGAGCTATAAGGGCCAATATTGTATTACTAATTCAAAAAAAATAAACGAAAAGTGATGTTAACCCGAAGACATCAGAAGTTATTTATGTACAAACTAATACATTAGCATGGGTACTGTCAGAAAATGTGTATAGCCTAGGTAAATTGTATGAGACTTAGAAATGCTAGGCTCTTTCACAAGTATCATTAACCTTGACACAGCTATAAACAAATGCTCATAAGTTAACTGTGAAAAAGAGTATTTTTCATTTGATAACTTCAGCAGCAAGATTTATGCAAAATGGCACAATTTATTTACATAATTACACGGATTTTCCAAAAGCATATGGATAGTCCCTAATAATGCTAAAATAATATATAAGCATTTCCTGATACTGAAACAAAAGGTGGAAAGTGAGCTAGACTTCCAGTCAGCACTGCTGCTATTTTCTATTTGATCACTCCCTACTGTAAAATTCTAATTACAGCATGGCAGATCTGCACAAACAGTAAGTAAAAAGGCAATTAAAGGTCCCATGAGAGTCTTCGAAGCTCTATTAGCATACACGATCCTTAGCTTTTTGTTTAGCTTAGGTGTAAAAGAGACTTAAACAGAAGGATGACTTTTGTTTTTTAACATCTCACATTCAGAACACTTAACCTTTCAGACAAGTACCAGAAAGGTCAAGAGTAACCACCAGAGTGGTAACAGCCTCAGAATCAAGATGACTACAAACCCACTTGATGGGTTAACCATTAACTTTCCAGTAGACAGCAGAGATCCACTCACCAGAGGCAGGATACATCCCCAAAGGGCAGACACTGCCTTGAGGCTGCAGTCAGGTGCGTTACAGGCAATTCCTGTTTGGCATATTTGTTAAATCTCTCACTTTGTGGTGAATAAAACAGCTCAATACTAGAGAGGTTACTACCTCTCTGAAAAGCCATTATGGACATCTAAACACAGGAGAAGGGAATCACTGACACAAATGGTACCATACTCTTTCCAGACTGTCAAACATTAAGTTGGAGTGTCAAGGGGACCCAGATACTAGTATTTGTAAATAAGACTTCAAGAAAACCCTATACCAGGCTCCCTACGGGGAAGAAGATAGATGGAAAGTACAACTTCTGCTCCAAAGAATGTACATTCAAAAAAAGCCATAATACAGCCACATAAATGAAATGGTGGAGAGCAAATAGTACCTAAAATGACATGTGTATCCTGGCAAGATAGGAGCAAACACCCTGATTCATGATGCTCATCTCCTTCTTCAGTGAATCAAAATCAAGCCTTCATCTTTATTTTCCTTTTCCTATTTTAGCTTTCCCAAGCAAATGTAAAGGCTTGTTCTCCTGGTAAAACTGATCTCAACTATAATAATTTCTGCTGCTCTGACAACACTCTCAAAAGAAAAATTCTAATTTCAGAGCATGCTACAGGTGCAGGTCTGTTAGGATCCCTTCACTAATATTTTTCTCAATATCCAAAAACATCCGGAACAGGATGACAGAGTTTTACATAAAGAGGTTGCTTCTCTACCCAAAATATATAGCCATGTCTTCAAAACTGGCTATTAATGAACCTCCCAGAAATCACTAAGGAACAAAGGGACATACACACTTATCTTCGTATTTACTTAACCTACAGCAAATGGCATATTTTTTTCCACTATGACCAACACTCAAGCAGCCATGATATCAGCTACCACCCAAGGAATGAGAATCCAAAATGCATAAATACCAGAGAACTCAGTAACTTAAAACTTACACCATCCTGTGATTCTATGACAAGCAGAAGTAAGCGGTTTAATTTTGGACATATACACTATTTTATTTAACTCTACTGTGATGGCAATTGCTATCAAAAGCTTTTTTTTTTTCTTTGTTAATAAGAAAAAGTATCTCAAGCTATCAGGAAAAGCAAACGTTTGTGTACCGCTCTGAGGCTCAGGGTTTATAACCACATCCTCATTCTTTAGACAACCAGCGTTTATGTGCCCTTTCAGTGCTATGTTCGCAGAACAGAAAGGTCAATTGGGAGCTCACAAAACAGCGCTTTGTAAGACTCCAGCATGATCATCTTTCTCTTTAGCTTCCTAAATGGGAGGAAGCAAGATAGAGGAGATACTTCAAGGCGCTCAGAACAATTGCGAATGTAAACAAACACACAACAGGAGAGAGGAAAAATCTATTTACTATGTAACTGAGCCGTGAGTCAACATTCAATAAGCAGCTGCAAAGAGGAGGTCATAAAGCAGGAATAAAAAGGACATGCTTCTGTCATAAAGCAAGAATGAAAATGACATGCTTTTTCTGTAACAGATTAGAGAATTGTTTAAACAATTCTTCAGGAGTCCAATATTCCACATTCAAGTTTCCTGTCAGGTTTCACAGACCAATTTAAATGTTATTAATCCAGTTGCAGAGGGAAACCCAAGCTTTTCCTTTAGCTGAACTTGCAAAAAATGTCAAGTCACAGAATAGAAAACCTGAGCAGATTTACATATTGGAAGAATGTCCCCTTTCTCAGTACAAGCTAATGCATTTAAGAAAATAATGGGATAGAGATTTCTGTACCAACCTTTCCACCACTTCTTTCAGATAATATTAATTTCCAGGTTCTAAACAACACGTCCTACCAATCTCACAAAGCCAAGGATACTTGTGAAGCCTGCACGAGATATCTGCCAAGATGCCAAATACCATTCCGTGCCTCCAGACTTGGCCTTCCCTAGCCTCATACATAACATCCACAACTTCATGAAAGAGGTTATAACACAAGCTCTCTTGGAAGGACAGAAAACTGACTATATGTTCTTCTATTCAATAGCCAAGACATTTTGTATTACCAGCAAGTCTGGCATTGCAAAACACGCGTTCTTAAAAATCCAGTGTTCCTCCCTTTATAATACAGAGGAATTAAGGAAATTACATTTCTTTCCCAGAAAAACACATTTGCCTAAGCTTGCAGATGCCTAGGAAATAAGAGGTCTCTGTTCCTAAACTCTCAGTTCACCTTTGAAGAAAAGCACATAATTGTACTCATTATAAATTTGGAATATCAAATCTACTTAATTGTGTATTTGATAGATTATTTCTACATCCTCTGCTCTTTAGCAATAGAATCCTACTTTGTAGGGCAATATCCTGTATAAAAGCTGTGAATTACCAAAAACACTGCACGTATTTTTGATTCAATCTATAAAAAGCAGTATTTAAAACACAAAGTGCACGCAGCAGAAAAAGACACACTAAAGGTCTATTTAGTTTAAGATAAACCACAGCGTATGTAACTTCTTTCTTATATCCCTCCTTGAGGAAAGCATACTTCTCACATTATGCTCCACCTGAAGAAAGCAGATCTACATAGAGTTGTTTTTAAAATTAAATCTGTCATACTTTTATTGCCTTTACACATCATTCCAATAAGCTTATTATTAAAACCTCATCCTAATTACCAGAGCACTACATCAGTGGAAAAGTGAGAAGAAATGTTCGGCATGATTAAAATTTACTAGCTGAACTATTGTAAAATCTGCATTAACAGCATACATATCTCAGCGTGAACTTGCACCTTGACACACAGAAAAAACATCCCCATGTTGCTAGAATTTTCTAGAGTTGTTACCTACATACAGAATCTATTGCAGGCTCTGAATTCAGAGTCTTTCCCCTAATACTCTTTACCGTGCATTTAATCTGTCTCTTCCATCCAAGGAAAGACAGCTTGGAACCATTTTTTCATACCAAGGACCGAAAAAAAATCGAAAAATTAATTAAAAAAATAAAAAAATAAGGAAAAAGAAAGGGGAAAGAAAGAAAAACAGGAAAAAACAGCTCAATGCTCCCTGCTCTCTTCAATGATCTTCTGAACTTTTGAGAGAATCTCAGAATAGCTGGCACTGCAAGAAAGATGAAGAAAGATGCAGAATATACACTCAGATGGTAATCATGAAGAAGTCCCTCCAGCAGCTGGGAGTGCCTCTAAGGCAAAGCTCCCCTGGCAGAGGTGTGGGTTCAGGGTATCTGATGAATGCCAGCCCTGCTAAATGCATCTTCTGAAGCAGCACAGCTCTTAGTGAAGGATTCCATGGCATTCCAGTCACCTGGTAGGGGTTTAGGAGACCCCCCCCCCCCAGTGCTGCATGAACTCAAAACTATACCCAAACAAACAGGACCCACCCTAGTGATTTCAGAGCATACTTGATGCAAACCCTGTATTGGAGATCATTCAAGTTTTCATTCTTTTGGTTCTGTCTCAAGTAGCTACAAGCATTTTACTCGCACGGGACTACACTCTTTTGGTTAATGTCACAGCTTACACATTTAGCTGGGCCCAGTACTCGAGAAGTGTGATTTTGGGAAGCACTACAGGTAAATCTTCCACCTAAGCCAAAACTGCATAGAAACTTTGGGGAAAAGTAGATAATAAATCCAGAACACTTAGTTTGAGTACAGTACAAGACATGTAGAAACAGTTTTAAGTAAATCTCAGGCCTCCTCCATTTTTTTCTGTTGGCGTAATGGCTACCAGTAAGACTGTCCTTTCGTGTTACAGCATTGTAATAAGCAGCCTGACATGGGTTCAAATAGATTCAGGCATGGTATCTTCTCCTCTCTTGTGAAAGATGATCCAGGAAGGGCAGGAGAATCTCTCTTTGTACAGAAGTGTACCAGAGACCTGAGATCTCAGTCAGGCTGGGATCAGTAATATCAGCCTTGTAAAGTTCTATCTTGCCTTGCACAGCATTCACAGCATTCGAGACTTAGCCAGGCAGTCATATGAGATCATCTCTACTTGTGGAAACCTGCAGACAGATCTCAGGCCAACTCCTCCCTAGGGTAAGCATCTGATACTCCTGATGTCTCATGCAAAAGGATAAAAAACCCGAGGAATTAAAGAGGCAATTTCACTAGTTCTGTAAAGCATATTACTAGGGATAGCTGATCTGCCAGTCATGACCTGGGAGGAAGCATTTACCAATGCTGGGTATGTTTAATCCCACAAGGATAGCTGGCAGCAAATGCACAAATTTAAGAGACCACCAAGGGGGATGATCTCTTAATTTCTCTGCTGACAGGCAACATCCCTCAGCCATTATAACAGAAAGTAGCATCCTGCAACGCGTTGTAAGGACAGCTGGTGAGCTCTGTGAGCTACCTTCAGTTTTGGCATGCTGAGGTAATTTAATAATTAACTGTCTTCAAGGCACCTTGTACTTTTGTCCTGTCATCGTAGCAGGGATGCACCTATCACTCACAACTTGATTTACGTTTCTCATTTTAAGAACACTAAGGGTCATGTTTGTTAGGGATGTTTAGTAGAAAAAAGCATGTTCCCATATCTGATATCAGCATGACCTCTATTTGAGCATAGGCAAGGTCTCAATTTGTCCCGACACACAGTAACAGAAAAAATAAACTCTAGATTTCAATGAAGTGACAAAGTACATCCCACCTGACTGAACAGTCACATGGTATAGATCAAAAGACTTTTTTATTCTTTTAATATAATCACAAAATAAGCATAGTAGGCAGGTGAAAATATGAAGAAGTTAGAGGAAAACAGAAAGCCTGAAAGCAAACAATTTATTTTGAAGGTAGGGAAAAGAAGAATCTTGACTGTAGTTCCTCATCACCCATTACACACCTAGCACAGTAGTGTGCAAAATTGTGCAAAAATGTCTCCTAACTCCAGGATTTACATTGAGTTCATGCATGGTTTAAACAACTCAGGACCCAAAAGAAAAAACATTATTTTGAACTAATAAGAATATCTGGAGGACAGCAAACACTGGAGGAAGTCACACAATTGCTTTTCACACCAGTACAACACTATCAAGAACAAAGCAGTACATTGTACCTCAGGTTCTCTATGGGATGGTAACTGAACACAGGACACAGTCTCTCATAAGTTGAGTGCAACATTCTGCAATTGCCATTTTGAGATTGGCCAAAATTTCACCTGCCAAATTAAAACAATTTTTTTTTGTTTCACACCTACATTCTGCTCAAGTAAGTATATAATGACCTGTGGATAGTAATGGTAGCAGCATTTTTATAATGCAGTTACACTTTCTTTAATAAGCAATAATATTGTAGTCTAATAAAATAATTTCTGCACCTGTAGGCTAATACAGTATTATTTGTCGTACGACACTGCAAAATAAGTGCTATACCAAGCTTCATATTGTTCTGTTTATCACACTTGCCTTATTATTAAAGAAGCAACAAAAAGAAATGTTGCAAAACAGCTCCTCTGACAGTCAGCATTTTTCTTCTGTCTTTGATGCATTTCCCCACCACAGTTGTCACAGCAACGACACATACAGAAGCAAAGTCCCACAAGAGGCAGTAACAAAATAAATAGCAATCCCAAGGCTGCGGAGACTATAAAACCGATTTCATAGTAGATGGCCTGTAAGTCAGACAAAAATAGTGGTAATAGCATATATCACACAGCAACTGCAATCAATATAGAGCAAATAATTACAAATCAAACTACGGACTAAACCATCTACTAAGTTACCAAGGTTACAGACTTGGTATATTTTGTCAATAATTGACAACTTTTCCAACAAAAAGACAATAACATTGTAGATACTGATAGCTAATAATTATTTAGCTAGACTACTAGCTAGGCAAACTACAAGAGTGAGTACTAAGAGAGAGTAGGCTCACAAGAAATAAATGTGAATCAGTGCAATTGAAACAGGTTAAAAATGAACACATTTGATTTCCTGGACCACAAAGCTACTGTTTCTCACATCTGTTTCCAAAAAGGCTCCACAAATGTCAGGAAGGTTAACTAAAGCAACACTTCATGGAGGGGGAAGGGAGGCTTAGCTTTTTCTCCTTTTTATTCACTTATGAGTAGAAAGATTCTTATGAACTGCAAAGGGAAGTACTTCACTGGATGATTGATTACAATGGCAGAGGTTCCTCCAAACTGCTGAATTTAAAACTGCTTAGGGACAGGACAACATGAAGGAGCAGATAGATTTTAAGATCTCTCAGGTAAAGACATTTATTCTGCTGCCAAACAGCAAAGCAGCAGCAACCAAAAGGATGCTTTCAAAAGCTGGAAGGAGTGAAAAGAAACGATGCAATTCCATGCCCTAACCAGCTTTTACACTGCAAGAGACCCCAGACCAAGAAGCTGGGCCAGGCAGCCCTGGCACAGCCCTACACAGCGCTTACAGGGGACAAGCTGTGAGCTTGCCGTGCTGTTTCCCTCTGCTGAAAACACAAGCCAGCCCATCCCAGAGAGCATCAAGCAGGTGTCTGCACAAAGAGATCAACAGCACAGCGTGGGCATGTCCCAGTGCTTTTTCTTCCCTGATAAATCTCTCTTCTCCTTTCCTTTCCCAATTTTAGGAGAACTAATTCTCATCCGAGTACTTTGAGTACTCTCCTGTTTTACACCAATACAAGGGCAGCTTAGCAGAAAAGGAATGATATTGAGGCTGTGTAACTGTCCTGCAAAGTAAGTTAAAATTTCTCACAATCTATCAATCATGCTCCAGTTCCAGCTTCGCTGATGTCTGTCTTCACAATCCCTAATTATGAACTGAGTCAAATACAGCAACCATCACCATTACCAGAGTTGCAAATTTCTGACCTAATTACCAATTCTAGGATGAAAACTATTTTTTAAATTATTATTATTATTATTATTATTATTATTATTATTATTATTATTATTATTATTATTATTATTATTATTATTATTATTATTATTAAATCCTGGTTAAACCTTTTGCTTCCTTCTGAAGAATATGAACAAGATGTTTGGAAGAAGAATTTGGCTTAATTTTGCAAAAGAATTACTGTTTTCTATCTAGCTGAATACTTCAAAAATTATTTGACAACAGAAGTTATTTTAAGATAGGTCAGATGGGAAAACAGTATTTAAAATAACATTAAAAATTATTATGGATGTTCTAACGGAAGTAATGTATACAGACGTGATTAGTTTCTTTTCAAAGTGTTCATCTACCGTAAGACATTACCTGAAGAGTCAGGACAACATTTTCTGGCTGTGGAAGTCAAAACAAATGGAGAATGTGTATAAAACACAGGCAGCATGCACAAAAAACAAATCCGGTGAATAATGAATAATTAGCCATGACCACAACAATTAACAACACAGAAACAATAATGAAAGCCACTAAAGTAAAATAATGCACAGAAGCACCATTAAATAATTATGGAAAAATATTTACAATAAAATACATAGCAGGTATTTTCTGGTTTCCCTGGTAAGTGAAAGGAATCTAGGATTTGTCCAACAAATACTTCCATTTTAAACCAATGACAGACCAGTTATTTCCACATTGAGCATCCAGTTCATATAATTCCCAACACGTCTCACAGAAGGCCAGAAACTGCATTACTTTGTTGTTTAGTGATTGCTTCATGAACTCCACCTGTCGTAACTGATACGCTATTCCTGTCCTTTTCTTTTCAATTTTATTTTGGTACCTCCACTAGCAGTTTTGGGATCTTAATCTTTGGGACTACATAAAAATTCATCCTCACTTTTAAGTAATCATGTAGAGGTTTAATTTAGATTATTCTAAAGCAAAAAAAAAAAAAAAAAAAAAAAAAAAAAAAAAAATATCCAATGACAGGAATTCCAGAAGAACCCAACTTCCCCTTTGTTTCCATAGTGGAAATAGAAATTCTTGTATTTTCCCCTTCATGTCTGCATGACAAGTTCACAGCTCATAATGCTTTCCCTCTTTTTCATAACTGGAAGAGAAGTGGACAAGCTAAAGATGGCAAGACCCCTCAGCCCAAAGTCTGATGTGTGAAAATCATAAATGTTCAGGTTTCAGGATGTTTTTTCAGCATCATACATATCTTTATGAAATCTCTACTGTACAATATTACTTAAAATGTTCAAAATTGTATTTTGATCATATCAACATATTTTCTTCCATACTAATGGGAGGAAAACAAATGCTTACCCTCCCTTACAGATCTGGTACCAAATGTGATTTTGAACATTTCAAGCGAGGACTCTCCCAGCAGAAGTAAAGCAATGGCAGCAGCAGTGAGCTGGCTCCCCAGAGCGGGCACGGATCAGCTGCTGGGCTGTCCTGGCAGACTGCTGCCCCTGGCAGGGGATGGGGAGATGCTGATGTTAAGAGTCCAACTGGGAACACTGGGAGACACAGCACAGAAATGGGAAGGGCCTCCTGGGTCACTAACACTTTCTATAAATAGGTTAAAAAAAATTTATACACAGGAATGGCAGCAGAAATTTAACAGGATAAATATGAGCAGCAGATTTCCTGTTCTTACTACTGAAGGGCTGTTCCCAACGCTTGGTGAGCATGTTTTCTTCTCACATGGAATTGCACATGATACATATTTCAGCTGCTTTGTTTCTGTGCTAGCACTATCTTCTGCCCAAGGAGCAGTGCTTTCTTCCAGGTGCTTCCTCTCCATATATATTTTAAAAGGTAATCACGCCCCTTATCAACTCTTCTCCTAAGCAAAGCAAACTCTTCTAGTTTCCTCTGAAGAGGAAAAACCTCCATAGGTTTTCCAGATCCCCCTAATGGACATTTTCTGAACTCGTCCTATTCTAAGTTCATTGTCCCTGAATTTGAGTGATCAGAACCACAGGCAAACATTTCTAACTACTTATCCACACCCTTCAGCAATATTCACTCTTCCCCATCTCCACTGGAAATTCCTCCAGGGGCACATCTACCACCATGCTAGCCACTTCACAGTTGACTCTCACTAATGTTTCTGTCTTCTGAATGCCATCCTACTTGTCCTGATATATTTTCTTTTTCCAAATTTATTTCAAAGTTTTGCACTTTATTCAGGTCAGAATTTGGACTGATAAATGGCCTGTATTTCAACAAGCACATCCCCTATGCAGGACTAGAGCCATCATCAATCTCAGATTTCTCAAGACTTATGCACTAGTTACTAAATACTAAACTTGTGCTCATGTACACCACTTATGGTCTAATGGTTTTGTCCCAACTCTCCCAGCCAAGCCCAAGCCTGCTTTCCTCCCTGGGTATACAGCCACAATCTATGACACACCACTCTTTACAGCCCACCAAACAAGTATATGGGATCAGCAAGAGTCATCTGATGCATCATAACAACAATGCCCACACACCAGGATGTCAGGCAGAGGTTATCAAGCTACTGGAGAAATAGGCCTGTTGTCAGGAAGACATGGAAGCACAAGGCTTTCCCCTTTCAAAGACCAAGGTCATTCAGGCCATCCTGGTTCAAGGCAGTAGCTCAGTGCCTGTATGCCAAGTGCCATACTCATCCTTCTGACAGGTACACCACACTGCAGGGACTATAAGCAAGCACCTCAGTGAAGTAACTTGTTATTGCCTGGCCATAGTTTAGATTCCTACTGCAGACAGCCCCTGATATTGTTTCAAAAACAGAACACCATCCTTGAGAACAGCCTCAAAATCAGATGCACATTATATTCCATCTTCTTGCTACCAGATACCCTAAGAATTTCAACTGTTACAGGATATTCACAAACCTAAAGAGATAATGAAAAATATCCTCCACATGATTAACACACTACATAAACTAAAATATACTTTGTAAGTAGGCTATGGGAACTTCATTTTACAAAGGCATCAGAACCAGCACATAAATTCAGCTTTTCGAGAAAAACAGCTGAAGTTTACATGAGAGCTGAGCAGTAATGGTTCTCTCTAAGCTTTTTTAAAATAAAAGCAGTATTTTTCAATACAAAGAGCCTTCAACCTTTGTGCAACAGATACTGCAATCACATTACAGCTGCAATTTATAAGTCAGCCTTAACTATGATTAGTTTCTTTACACTGGCTTATGGACTTTTCCTTGTAATTGCTTTTGAGAGATTTTGGTCCCACATTTTTCATGAAACTATCACACCTGTTATTCAAAAAATTACTATTTCTATCCTGTTCATATAGTTTTAAAATACTAATTCCTGTTTTAGAAACAAAACTGAATTTCAAAGTCATAATTTTCATTATTTTATGCAAATACACATAGACAATTTACCTTTTGATAATCGCCCTGTGTCTTTCCCAACTGCTGCTGTGCTACTTTTCTGATGAGATCTGAAAATAAGCAAGAATATTCCAGAATTTTAAAAAACACAATTTATTAAAATCAAGGGAAAAGAATGGTTTGAATTCTACTGTTAGGTAGGCAAGATGAAATTAAGAACAGAAATCAACAGCATAGGTAAGCACATAAGTGTCCCCATAAATCTGTCTAGTAACATTTTTAATTACAGTGTGTTTTATGAGCTCACAGGGAGAGACAGGTTATCTATCAGTTAATCAGTTACCACTGAAATACAGTAAAGGTTTTTCTGAGGTCATCCTCTGTACCATAAAATCATTATTAAAAGTTCATCACACATATACCAACTACTTGGACAACATTCCAGGTGTCAGCTTTGCTTCATGTTTATGCCCAGTACATACGTGCATACATATACATATGCATACAAACATACATACACACAGCATTATATACATAATGTGCGAAATAAACATGCTAATGAGGACTTCTTGATTGAATGGTACAAGGAAGAAGACTCTTATCTTTCCAACATTATCCCAATCTTTTTTTCCTGCCCTCTCCCCCACCCCAATCTCTGGACCAACAGTTAGTATGGAAAAGCACCAAAACAAATCAGAAAGCCTAACATGTTACTATTTACTGTGTGTGCAGCTCCATCTAAAACTCATTCTAACTTACAACATAAAAAGAATACAGCAACACCAAAAAACCAAAGCAGGAATGTAACACAAATTGTGCCACTTTCAGTAAACTCTGGCAGCTGTAACAAGGATACCCTTTTTGGGACATCACCAGCCTACTCTTATCAAGGTTTTGACAACTCCATGGGAACAATGCTGGGAACTGTGGCACCCAGTCATTTCTGTGACACCCTGTACTTGAAGAGGGGCTCCAGCAGCCCCCCATGTTCATACAGAGCTGGACTTCACACTACTATTGCTCTATTTTTAGTCTCCCCATATGCTAATGAACATACCTGATAAAAAGTTACCTGAGGCTCAATTAAAGGACCTGAAGTTTCAAACCCAACTGCAGACCTCCCAAAAATCCAAGCCCTCTCAGAATTGATTGTAGCACTTGTGAAATATGTTCAGGGAGTTCACAGAGGCTTTGATCTCACTCCTCTCTCACCCTCCATCTGGCTCAGAAAAACGAATTCCTAAACAAACAGCGCTCATAGTCCTCCCTCCCCAACACCCTGCAGAGGGAACAAGGACTAAACTGATCTGCACATTGAAGAGATCCTGAAATGTTCCTCACAGAAAACTGTCCAAGGAAAGAAAGCACATGACAGCAAGGCATAAACTGCTGTTTTAGGGCAGGTAGTCCCTGCAAGGGACCTGCAGACAGCAAGACTGGCAATGAAAAAGTAAAAATCTGTTAAAACATCACTGAAGTGTCAAACTGGGACAGGAAGTACATTCTCTAACACAGAGTGCTTGCAGCAGGGTAAGCAAGGACTCTCTACAGTGAGGCAACCCCGTTTTGGAAAGACCATCCATAGAGTACAAGACAAGGCTGAATCCCACAGTTAGAGAAATAAAACCAAAACATATGTAGAATAAGCACCTGGGAAGCACAAAAGAATTACGATCCCCGCGATTCCTTCCAAGCTCTGCATCTTGCGAGTCATGAGACTGATGAAGGAAGGGGCACACACCACTGTAAGGGCAACACACAACTGATCCACCACTGCAGCTCTGACGCATCTCGGGCAGTGGGATCAGCAAAGTCCTCCCTGCATCGAGACCATCCCAGCAACATCTGTGCTTCTCCAAAAGTTTCAGCAACAAGGAGATACACAGCTGAGTGAGGAAAAACTGCACAAACTCCAAAGGTGTAAATCCCACCAGTTGTTATGCAATTTTTTCTTCTTCAGCAGAGGTAACATTTTTTTATTCCTGTTGATATCTATACCATGTAAATAAAATACTGGTGCATAAAATATAAATGCAATGAATTTTCTTTATAGCTAGATGGCTTTTAGCATACAGGAAAAGAGCTAAAACAGCTCTCTCGTTTATGTATTGATTCAACTATTTAGCATTGCATGACAACACCCTATAGAAAAGCCACTGAGAAACTTCTACCAGCTTAAATGAGAATGTGATAGGAAGGAATAAAAAGGAAAAGCTTTTGTGATCCTCAGTGGCATGAAGCAGGCACAGGATGCTGTGGTATCACCCTCTTTGCTGCTACTTAACACCGACCAGAAGAGTTCCCAGCAACCTGCTCTCACTTCCAAGCTGCTCCTAACTCAAACATTCATCTTGCTTTGGAAAAGGGCTGGACTTGCTGACATCTGGACATCCTTTTAAATCTGAATTATTCCAAAGTTATCCTGCAATCATAATGACTTTCTATTACAAATTATTTAGGAGAGCAGTGAAAACACTGCCAGGAAGCATGTAAGAAAGCAAAATTTTATTATTGAAAAAAAGGTCCTTTGATACATTTCCTAATGTTGGGAATTGGTACAAGAAAATTTTAAAAGCATTAGCTTTTCACATTAAATAGAAGTTGAAAGATTTTACCCATTCTCCTAGTTGAGTGTCTGTCCTCATAATAAATTAAAAGTAAAAAAAAAAAATCAAACGTTGCATAAAGTTTTACATACATCTATACACACATATACATTTATGCACCTCTGTATGCATGTGTGTATGTGTATGGAAGTAAGAGCTCAAGAGAAACAGAAGGGTTGAGGCTGGAAGAGACCCCCTGGGATCATCCAGTCCAGGTTACCCAAGGCCATGGCCAGTCAGGCTTTGAGTATCTCCAAGCAGAACAATCAATATTTAAATAAATCAAACCAAAACAACCCAAAATGTGCCCTGGTTTCTTGTGATATGCCTAAATTGCTCTGAATGTTCCTGATTCACGGTTTTATTTATACTGTTTCCATATTTTATAGCCTGCCAGTCAAAAAAATTACAGAAATCAATCTGAATACTCTGTGACAAATTTATGCAGAAAATTGCACTCTGTGTTTCTGAAATTTAGAGTCTCTAAAGCTCGTTCATCAGAAAGTAAAACATCATTAAGTTTAATAATAAACAAGAAAGCCTGAAAATAGGTATAAAATGTTCCCACATGGATTGAATAAGTTTAATAGTAAGAACAATACCGGCTTGACACACAACACAATGGCTGCTACTGCACAGCCCACTTTTTCCCCTCAATTTTACAGAATGTGAGATTTCCCTGCTGAATAAAGATTCACTACTTACATTACTTTGCAATGATTTTTCAGAAGTAACATGATACTTCAGGGTGTTTTTCTCACCAGACAGCACACACTGATTGTCCAGTCTTTAATATGAATTTATTATTTTAACAGCCTTCAGTATAAATGGGATTAGGGCACATCCCTGGTTAATTAATTCCAAATGAAGTGTGGAAGTAGTATATATTCCCATAAAAAATATTTTTGGCTATAACTGAACGTGAGATTATCTGCAGTTACTCGTCCACACATCTGTACACACAAACACACCTTAGTGGTTTTGTGGTACCAAAAATCTCCCTGCTCGTTGCAGGGGGGGTTGGACTAGATGATCTTTCAAAGTCCCTTCCAGCCCAAACCATTCTGTGATTCTACTAGGTTTTAAACACATTGATAGTAATCCTGGGGAAACGTCCTGTGCCAGATACTGTGTAAACACAAGCTACTTATGGCTAGACTGCTCACTGCAGGAAAATGAAGAGACACCTCAGACCACATTTTATTCAGCCTGTGATTCTGGTGTGCTTTTATGAAGCACCTTTCCTCCCTAGCTATAACACTTCCTCTTTAGCATTGAAATAAGCTTTTATTTTTCAACTGAACTAAGGTAACTCCACAGGACACTCTCCTGAGTTATTGGCAGAGTACCACCTGAAGGCTGATTTCTGTCTCAAATATACAAGTGTGATAAAAAGTGGTGTCCTTTATTTTCAAATTAACTCGATTACTTCTGAAATCTTGGCTTGACCAGCTGCACACATTGTTTCACAGGACCAGTAATCCAAGGCTTTAGCACAGAACACATTTTATCATTGGGGTTAAAGAGATTTACCTTGTGAGGCTCATTTACACAGCTAATTACATTACTGCTTTGCTGTCTCCCTCCTGCTCTCATCACACATGCGAAATGCCATCTGCCCTGGTAAATCTAACTAGCCAGATGAACCGTTAATTTACCAGTGCAATTTGTGAAGAAATATTAAGCACCTCTGAGGATCTCCAATTAACAAAACATAATCACCAACTCTTGCATTGCATGAGTATTGTGTATATACACTCAATGTCTCATTACCCTGTCTGGTTATCACTAGGTATGCTTCTTAAAAACTGCTCTAGAGAAAGGGATAGCAAAAATAATAGAGACTTAAAAATAAGCTGTCTGGCTATTAAGCATCAACATAAATTAGCTACAAATTCTTCTGCCAAGAAAGCTTTTCAAATCTAGGTGACAGGAAAACAGTTGGAATAAAACCTTTGGGAATGCTATGCTTCCTCTTCACTCAAGCAATTCCACTGAGCCAGTTCAGCAATAGTGCAACTCCAACATTAATCAAATTATGCCAGAAATTAATTTGTCTTTTTATGCATAGTATAATATACTAGGCTTCTATTCTGAAAGGTCTTCAAACAAACCAATAAGAACCATGACTGAAGCATTCATATCACACTGAATAGAGATTTTTTTCAGAACAACAGGGGAGAATTACAGAGAGAATACACATGATCAATTAATAACTACTTTATTGCTACCTCATTCTAATGTATAAAACCGTATTTCAGCCCATTCCTGTTCATCTATAATAGAGAGAGTCAATGGACTACATACACACTGAACAGTTCAGCATCTGAGTATGGGTCAATTAGCCTGAAATTAATGAATTAAAATTACTTCAAACTTGTTTTTTTCCTCTCTAATTACTACTCAGACTAATGAATATCTCTTGAAAGGCCAAGAAAACCAGGAAAGCTGTATTAACTTTTCAGACTTATCAAAGACAAAAACGTTCCATGTATGTTATATCA